CAAGTGCCAAACAGGTGCTAATAGTAAAAGACAGCATTGATGGTAATCTTGCAGTTAGACAACTTTCTGAAAGCCGAACAACAACAGCTTCTGATGCACCGCTAAGTTCATCAGCTGGTATCAATCAGTCGTCGTTGGTGTTGTCATCCACAATGAAAAAGGCGCCCATCAACTCAAGTATCTTGTGCAATGACTATGATAGTATTGATGCATTTGAAAAGACGAAAGATATTGCTCAGTTTAGTAAGGATAAGCCAGGTGTAAACGAGAGAGTAATTGTTAAATTGACTTGCATGAATAAAGGCATTTCAAGTTTCAAGTTACTAATTGAATGCTATTATCTTTGGTGTAAATTACTCTGTTTCTACACTTGGTTGATCAGATACGTCGTGTGTCTATTAGTCACCTATATTTTACGATACAATGACATGAGCGTGCTACCGTTGAGATTTGAGGATATAGCTGATAGAGGGAAGTCAGCAAATGAACTCTGCGACGATTTTCCAACCTAGGGCTTCAACCTGAGAAGGGTTGTGGGCGCACTACTGTAAGTCCTACAGTCCTTCAAGGGTAGTTCGTCAAGGCAGAATCCACAACATTTAATGTATTGATTGTACATATGTTGGTGTTATATAATTGTGTGAGTTCCAATTATTGTAATTATTGATTAATCTTGTTTGTGTCCAGACATTCTTCAACTTACAATCATCAATCTGAGAAGGGTTGCAGGCGTACTGGTATAATTCCTGCGATTCTTCAAAGGAATTACATCGAGGCATGATCGGTGAGGTTATTTGTACTGTTTGTATATACGTGAGGTGTGTCACATCAATTGGTGTTTTTGGATTCACTGTGTTTATTCGTTGTTTTCGTATCTTGTTGTTATGCATAATTTTGTTGAAATTTTCGTCGTGATTACTTCTGAAGCTGTTTCGAGTCTTCTACATCCGTGAATGAGTTGATTGATGTTAAAGACAGCAGATGGGTCGCGTACACCGGAGAGGCTATTGATGAGAATGACATGCACACGGAGACAATGATTAGCTGTGGTCCCACGTGCTGGGGAGCAAAAGTGTAAACGACTGAGGCTTGCATACGTCACCATTACTAGAACCGAGGCAGAATGAGTGACAAGCGATTGCAGTGGTAATTGATAGTGAGTAGATAAGAGGATGTGCGCGGAGTATCATGAGGTGCTGATATGGTCACGTTGCGTTCTGCAAGAGTCATTCTGGCAAGTGGCGATTGTGTTGCAAGAGGATGCCTTTAACTGGATGGCATAGGTCGTCATCGGTGTGTGAGATTGTGCTGTGGGTCTGCCTGTGGTGTGCTGGCTTTTCTGTTTGTTTTCCATTTCAGCTCCGTCCGTGTGACCCAAGTTTTCGCACTGGCATTCAAGTCAACGTGTATTGGTCGTGATGAAACAACGGGATGGATCCCTCTTTGTCGGGGAGTGTCAATGTAGTTGAAGTTTGAACGATCAATTCATGGTTGTTTGCTCAGTCCAAACTCTTCCATATTTTTCGCGGGAGTCATCAATCCATCAGTCATCGTCTCATCGGTCGCTGTTCAGAAAAACCCGTCAGGAGTAATATTGTGATTTATTATTGTAATATTTGTTCAGAGACCTTCGTTATTATGCTGGTTATATGTTGGTGTTAGAATAAAGAATTCTCGAGTCGCCAATCTGTGTTCTGGTTTTTGCGTCCGTTAGTACTAAGCGTTTCTGAAAGTCTTCGAGGGACAGCGAGAGACCCAGCGTAGCATGAGCTTACTATTACGGGGTTTTTTGAACTGAGGGATACGATATTTTTGCGGGTCATCCATTCATCAGTCATTGTCTTATCGTTCGCTTTTCGGTGGAGGATAAAATACTATCAGACTTTCTATCGTGATTTATTTGGATAACATTGATTCTCAGACCTTGTGTATAATATCCTTATTGTTTTTTACATATTGGCGTTAGGATAACGGATTCTCGAGCCGCCATACCGTTTTCTGTTTTACGCGTTGCTTAATTCAATATGTTTCTGAAAGTTTTCAAGGGACAGCGTGATGTCCACCTTAGTAAGAGCTAAACATGCACAGTTTATGAGAGTTAGCTGACAACTGTACTGGATAAAAAATCGAAGAAGACACCTAGGAAAGACACGAGACCATTCTACGACGCACTGGCTATTGGCCACTAGAGCTGAAGTGGTAGGCGTTTAAAATAGACCTCAGGACATTATATCAGATATCCAGGTCACTGCCAGGGAAGAGATCAACCCAGATGATAAAACCAATAATTGATGTTGAAGGGAACCTGATTACCAATGAGGAGTAATAAATAAAACAATGGGCTGATCAAAGTACTCTTGAATCGACCATCACCTGCAACTCGGCCATAAATTTTACTACCACCGAGAGCACGCAAAAATTACTGACTGTCAGTGGATACCGATCACCCGACGAAAGCGGAAACCTTGAATGCGATCAAGCTACTGAAGTCCAGGGGTCACAGTGACGGATGGAACTCCCAGCAGAGCACTGAAAACGTACCAGTTGTATTCACGCAATTACTACAGAAGATTTTGAAGTATGGGAAGTGCCTACTGATTGGAAGAAAAGCTTACTACCTTCTCAGACTGCCAAAGAAGCACGACTTAGGCCTGTGTAAGAACTGGACTGGAATAATGCTCTTGTCCACTCCAAGTAAAATACTGAGTCGCGTCATCCTGGAGAAAATGAAAGATGTGCTGGATGCTGAACTTAGCTCTTCACAGGAACGAGCTGGACTCACGAAAGGTGAATCACGTGCTGGTCAAATTACAACTTTGCTCATCATCAACAAACAAAGCATAGGATGGCACTCAAACCCCCAGCTACCCCAACTTCACTGACTTCAAAGAAGCCTTTGACAAACAGCGATGACCAAGAGGTAATTTGGAGTTTACTTTAACATTGTGGCGGCACATCCCCTAATTGAAACGGCTCCTCTAGTTGAACCTTGACGGTATTTGCGCGGTTTCGTTGGTTCGAGTTGGAGCTATTCGTCCAGGCAAACGCAGTAGACGCGATTTTGGTGCTTCTTTTACTATTGTTGGATGAATTTATATGAAAATTGTTATTCGATATTGTTCTTGACCATTTGCTGATTGCATGTGTGACAGGACGCTTAAATACATGGTGCATGCAATGATTGTTTGGCATACTGAGTAAGCTTCGCGTACATTTCGACGACTGTCATTCAATTCGGGCACCAAATTTCTATCAAAATTGTTCAACAGCTATGAAATTGGCATGTGTTAGGAGGTCCACAAAGGAGAATCCGGCCAAACCTTCGAAGTGAGTGCAAGAATAAGACAAGGCTGTCCACTATCAAAGATGATACTCCTGATTGTGGTGAAATGGATGAAGCTGAAGATCACGACAAGCGAGAAGACAGGAAGGCTCTAGGTGGTCTGAACTTCGCGGACAGTTTTCTTCCAATGTCAAACAAACTTTAGGACTTGCGGGCGAAAGCCAGCACATGACTCCAGATGAACAAAGAGGAGACGGATGTGATGGGGATAACCAACTAACAACAACAAGCACCAACCACATCAAAGAGAGATATATGAAAGAGGTCACGTCGATCGTTTATCCAGGTAGCATCGTCTCAGCTGCGGGCAACACGGATGAGGATAACAAACATAGCCAGGGTGGGAAAGGCTATTCCAAACTCCGTAACTCTTAAATGAGATTGTAAATCTTCTGCAGTAAGCTAGCATAAACATCAAATTTCGGATTCTCAATACAAATGTTAAGTTGGTTCTTTCATATAGGTCACAAAATCGTGCTACGGGTCACGAAAAGCATCTTCCTCAGTTCGCAGACTTTTGTCAGCAGCTGCCTTTACTGGTTGCCTGCTGAGTTTTAGATGCTGGGCAGGAGAGAATCAGCAACAAAAAACCCAGGCAACAAGCCAACCCAGAATCCATGGCTCAACAAATATTTTGGAGAAAATGCAGGCGGATCGACCAGACACGAAGACTGTTGAACGCCAGGTTATAGCTCATGTGGAACCTTAGTGTGAAACGACGAATCGGACCCCTGTCAGGGAGGTATCTGACCCATGGTGCGCCCTTTTTCTCGTACTAGCAATAGGCTAATCGGTGTTGGGGGTTTCTGTAGCTTTTTTATTGCTGGATAACTCATCAGTTATGATAGGGACCGCGCGGGTGTCTGACCTACGGTGGATGCTCTCCCGCACCGAAGGGCACTCATTCCCAGACAGAGATACGTTGAGAACGTGGATTGTCTTGTAAGTAACGCTAACCATGTCACAGGTGTCTGATCAGCCATCGATCTTCTCCTATGGTGGAGGACCTCTGAAGTCCAGGAGCTTTAATTCCCCTCTGAGCATTGCAGTGCCTTCTTTAGTATGGAAATCAGTCTTACTACAGCAGTCACTACACAGACAGTTTGCCAGAGGCTTGCAGCTGCGCCTGTATGCTGCAGGGTTTAGCTTTTTGCACATGATTTGAAATCAATGCCTGCAGCTGTCACGCTGTAAACGTTGGTTGAATGAGGATTAAAACATAAGTCTTCCTCACTGGTTTCTTTTACGGGCATAATTTTCGAAATGGATTGTGACTATAGAATTCAAATATGACCTTAGGAACAATTTTTGTACAACCATCGGTAAAAACTGATGCATTTCCAAAAAATGGATGTATAGTAATTAGTGTTATAAAAAGCACTTTCAATAAGTAAATAGACTCACTACTTATTAAGAAGCTAATTTGGACCATAGAAAACTGATTTAAAGTTAATCTATAGACTTTGGTGCGTATAACAACAGAATTCGAAATTGAACAAGAGTCTGCAAAGTTCACTAACTTTGCAAAGTTCACGTATAATCTTGAGCAGATATAATTCTCTTCTATTACTGTCGGTTTAATCAAGAGCACATTTGTTCCGATAACAACAAATATAACAAGATCTATTGGTTTTACTTCTGCTATAAAGTGATTGGACGGTGTTTGGTTCAGCGGAATTTTGAAGTGAATGCGTTGCAGCTAAGTTTAATCTCCAGTCATATTAATTGGAGGGTGAGGATATAGGCTATAACCAGGTGTAATTGGAAATATGGTTACTTCTGTTTTACTTGGGACTGAACCTGTGATCAAAACGCAATGATATTTGTATATACCAACGACTGTGTGACTGACTGAGCAAAGGCGCTTAATTTTTGCGCTTACTGACCATTTAAATCAAGTGAGTCAACTAAGTCGGATAATTTGGTCCGTTTTGTTTACTCCTTTGAATTGCTTCTGTGTTTTCAGAGAAATACCGACTTAAGATGGCAAGTCATAATGATGAAAATGACCAGTGTATATTTTATAATTTACAACTTTGTGTGGTTACGCAATCTTAATCATTCATTATATACAGGTGCCTTTTGAAACTTTGGTGTTAAATGAGTTGTTCACGTGTTGTGTGCGATACTTTCGCCTATGGTGTTCGCACTTCAACTAAAAAATCCTTGGACACGTTTAGACACGTTAACAGTGCTAGCAGCATAAACGCAGGCTCCTAATATTGAACTAGGCTTTTTATATTCACGCCAAACATTTGTATGCGCGAAGTGCTTTTTCATTCGCAGTTATTACTTACTGTGATTTCAGTGGATCTCTTGAGACATAGAAACTTTTGAAATGGTCAACTGCATAATAAATAATTTAATTAAATTTAGGCTTCAAGTTACTTCCAGAACCTCTCTAATTTTTCGAGACGTCGAGGACTCATCGCGTTTGCCTTTTGTTTAATTCTGCTACAAAAGATATTTTCCATGTATTCCTGGATTATTTTCGTTCACTTAACTCGTTATTCGGGCAGTGCGTTCTGAACATCAGTACAAAGACAAGTATCTCAGTGCCGTGTAATAGTCTTCGGTATTTTCCTAATTCACCAAACTCTCTAACTGAAGGAATCATGTTTCCCAGTAGTTCTCCTAAAGTGTGGTACTTTTACGTACTCCCTCAGACAAGTGTATTGCAAGAACGCATGAAACGTTTAATTTGGGTGCGGTTTAGTAGTACTTAAATGCATCTGTTGGAAAATGTTACAATGATCTAGAGCTCAGCTCTTAGTGTCCTTTTGCTATGGCCAAGCTATAGTTTTTTGGTCTAAAAGAAAAACGAATCTTTATGTAGAGACGTTCCTAAAAATAGTGTGTCCTAACAAAATAATAAATCCGTTAAAGAGTCTTCGTTGAATATTATGTTCTTAATATTACAATTGGAATTATTAAATTACTAACAAAAACTGTTTATATTGGTGAAGTCACATTTACAGTGGTTGTCAGAAGGTCTAGGTGCACATTTTAATTATCCATATAGAAGTTTTCCATTTTACCTAGTCTCTCAAATGTAAAATGCTTTCTTTTTAATGCGCAGTTTCACAGTCCCTCATAGCTTATCAGTTAGCTGAGGATTTATTTTTTATTCGACAAGCATAAGTATAACCACAGTGTTAATACTTTCTGCTGGCTTGAACTGACTTAATGGCACATTTCCTCTTAGGGAATATAGTGTCGCTATACTGTTCTCAGTAACCATTGTGAATAGAGAAATTATTTGTTCATGGTAACGGAAATCACTGAGTTGGATCTCCTAAAAGACTAAATGCTTTTGTTTTGATAGTTTGTAAGCATGGAAAGGGTGGTGCTTAGTGTTGTAGAAGTGCTTTCAAGAACGTAGATTCACACTAATCTCATAACTACCCAGCGTTATAGCTTTCTTACAATTTTTCCTGGTAGAGTTTGGTAAATACCATGCCATTGCTCTTCACTTAAACTTAAGTTGCTACCATGTTACTTAATCTTGGAGTGGATAGATTCGGGACAGCACATTACTTTTGTGGAAACAAATATAAAGTGTGCGACTAGTGGAAATAAGTCTTGCAGTTGTGCTTGTTCAAGAAAGCACGCTTGGACCTTCAGTAGGTTATACCTGTTATTTTTTTCAGATTTTTCCTGATTTAATCTTACCGAGTGAAAACTATTATATATATACCAAAGCGTCACTTAACTCTACTTATAGCCTTTTATAAAAAATACCATTTTAGGAACCAATACAAACACTTCACGCTTTACACATATAATTCTATAATTCTCGGATTATGCTTCGAAGACTGGAATTAGCACCACCATCGATATTTTGGTACTAGTGATTCTCAAAACCTATATTTTTTAGGAAAAATATTTTGGAGAATTCTCATTTCATCTTACAGGAACGCGTACGCGGGAAAATCTTTACAAGTGTAGGATAATTCGTTTTGTGGCTGACAAAATTTAGGATCACCGGTATAGAATAGTTCTGAAGGCACCGAATAATTCAATTTATGGTTTGTTTTATCCGCGTTTTCACTTGTACTTTTTTTCTAGAGGTTGCTGTATCTCATAATAAAAACGAAATTGAATTCTTTTGGAAAGAAGTAAACCTAATTTGTAGTAGCGTTGAAGGAATCGACAACGAGACCGCGTTTCATCATTTGTTTCACAAGCTAGAAAGGAAAGCTTTTCATTTTTGGGAAATGGAAGATAGTAAGTCACCTACTGAAATTGAATTTTTTTTCTAGAAAGTGGCAATATTACCAATGAAAAACTCCGGCAAATATTCAACTTTCCTTTCAAAGAAAGAGAAGTTAACCGTAAGGTTTAGATTCCCCTTTACCTGAACTCTCATGTAGACTACTTTTGCTTCTTTATCAGCGGAAGAGAATCACGTCCTGGATGGATGTACTTGACGATGAATTATCTCTGCTTTTATCCTAATATATATGGAAATAAGATATGCATACCATGGATACACATTATTGTATGTTTTTTCTTATTTTTAACTTTAAACCTCCTAGTCTGTTTTTCAGTCATGGTTGCGTATACCAAAAAGCATTTGTGTGCGCACACGTAACAGTGTGGTAAGTCTTCTAGTAACTTTTCAGAGACAATCTCAAGAAAGTTATGCTAATTTTAATAGTTGTGAACTTTCCTTTATTCCTACAATTGGCAGAATGTTAGATGTTACAGTTATACTCAACTAGATAATTTTTGTTTTGATTGTGCAGTTATTGTGGTTAACAGACAGTTGTTGTGCGTATTCAGTTTACCTGAAGGCTGGATAAAATATCCAATAGTTGCACTGACAGTAAAATTCAATCAACTGTTAGGTCTTGTAGCCCAGTCCATCTAGTTGTAAGTAGAATCTAATTATTCCATTTTTCTGGTGATCTGGTCACTAAATCCATATACAATACGAATAGGTGAAATTTTACCATATTTTCTGTCACCAAAGCGAACGCGAATGCTAATCGATGTGAGTAAATGAGTATAACTGAACAACTGATAGTGCTTAATGATCATACTGATATGATCCAAGCACTAATTCAGCCGTTTGAACTGGATCAATCGGGCATATTATTAGCGTAGTTTATTAGCGTAGTTACGCATAAGTAAAACTGTCATTCGGTACTTAGATCAATTTGATGTGGCCAACAAAAACCACTGATCGGTATGAGTTACATCCAACTAGTTATATTGATAAGTAGAGTAGATTATGGCAAAAGGTTTGAAATTTCGAAAATTAATCAATTGAATTAATATGCTTCTTTTCAATATCCTCTGTTGAATTGTATTTGTGTGCTATGAAGATGTATTGATCGTTCTAAGTTGATAAGTTTTCAGTAATTAATTAACAGGGCATCAGAAGTTAATTTCGTACTGCGGTCTCAAATATGTACAGGATATACGGTATTTTTACTCGTAAAGACACCTGGAGGTCCCTCGGAGCAGATTTCTCATGTATCGCGCTACGAGCCACGCTTATCGTATGATGCTTGGTGGCAACAACCATTCGCACAGGTTGAAGTAGATGGGGAGAGATTCGAACCTGTGACCCATTGACTGCAAGGCAAATGGTTGTGTAACAACAGAGGGCAAAGCAAGGAAGCCAAGATATATTTTTCATCAATCAAACCGCTGCTTATATATCTACAGTTTCTATTCGTTAACCAATCACCAAACGTGTGATTTCGGTAAACATCAAACAACATGAAATAGAATGTTCAAATATAGATAGTGTTGTTGTTAATGCAGTATGTAACTATGGGAACGTATTCTGTCGCTAACATCAAGTAGAATGTTCAAATACGTATATCGTATTCTGTTGCTAATGCCGAATTGAACTGTGGGAATATGTGGGAATAATATTCCGTTGGCAGCCATTGTCCGTATCACGTCACCTGTACTTGAACAAAAAAGCCACACCTGAAGGGACAAAAAGACGCAACGAAATCGTGCAGCAAGTCGGGTGTAAGGACAAATACTCGCCGAAGACATTGGATTGGGGTCGCGCTATGTTGTGAATTGGCAGAAGTTAGAATTCATGGGCCATTAGATCAGGTCCCGATGGCTTAATGGTATACGAGCTCACTAGCCTTGTGACTGGAATGTCCTGGGTTTGAACCCTGGCGGTGGGTGCATATTGCTGAAGAGTTCCAAACTAAGACGAAACGGCTGTTCAGTACTCCCTGGTTGGTTTTCCAATGGTTTTCTAACTAATGTCAGCTCATGATGAGATCCTGTAGCCAATCTAATCCCTACAAACCAACATTTGAAAATCGTACTTATTTATGAAGTGTCAATATACTTCGATATTCATCTTAAAGATGGTTTGCTTTGTGAGTTTACTAGTTGGTAAGGTAAGCAAACTTTAATATTACGTAGTGTTTCCCGCTGTAAAGTTTGCTTCATACACATGTTTACTGTTTACAATTTATTAATCATTCTATACTTGAAATATTTTTTTAGTATCATTTTGTAATCCCTGCGGGTTCAGACGAAGCATTTCATATGATCTTACATTTGGCCAATTATGGTGTCAGGCAGTAAGTTTACGTTAATTTATATAGGTATAGTTTTATTTGAGACAATAAAGTAACATGGTACCTGTCTGCGTTTATTTGTGTAAGATTTCTCATGACACACAGCTTGCTTTGGAAATAAAAACGTTAAAAAACTATTGAAATGATTTTGATATTATGGATAATTTGACTAAAAGTGAACTCACTAAAGTGACATGCTAAAAGGATGGGGTAGATGTTTCTGTGAAACATTCGTACATCAGGTGTTCATTCAAGTGTCTACATTAAAGCACAAAGATTAAGGCTCGTTAAATAAACTATGCATGTTTTATTTTATTGTCCCTCCTGCACCCTAATGTAAGCCTCAAAATAGATACGGGATTAGGATGTATTAAAATCACCCTAAAGAAGAGAATATTAAATGTCTTGAAAAGAGCTTTCTTTGCTGTTACATCACGATTAGTACTCTCTTGCCGCCCGATATTCTTCAGCAACTCTAAAGATAAACTATTTGATCATTTCTATGTGTATCTACCAACTTACTTGCTCCTGTGGATCGAGTATATATAGATCATTCAATGAGTGTTTTATCTAAAATAGTCAGAGAACATTATCCCGTTGGCTACGAAAAGGTAACCGTGAATCAATAAAGAGTGCCATATTCAACACTGGTCACTCAATATCCAAGGAGAATTCATTGAAAGCTATCAACAATGTTGTGCGTCGGTGGCACAGAGGTAGGTTGCTCACCGACCACGCATGTGGTCTGGAGGTCAAACCCCGGCCGACGCATTCCTTTGCCTCGCTAAGCCAGTTATAAGACGGCTAAACAGGGAAGGTTAGGCATTAGGCTAGCAATCCCATCCCGTAAAAATAAACACCACTGCTACCGAAACTTCAAGCCTGTAGCTTGAAGCCCTATGTTCCACTGGGAATGTAAAGGAATAAATAAATATCTACAAAGTCAAATGAAGCCTCCCAAAAACGTTAAGTTTCCGTATGCTTTGAATTGCAGAAACCTTAACGATCCAGATGAAAAGCCCTGATTTATGCACACCGAAGAAACTTCTCTTTCCTCTTTTTCTGCCTTGGGTGTAGTTCTAGGCTTAACTATTATCGGTAATTTGTTATTCATATGATTTTGTGAATTTTTGTATGGCATTTATTATCATCATCATTTTCTTAACTAACCTTCTATTTACTCTTTTCCCCTACTATATAATTTATTTTGATATTTGTCTCTACGCTCTTTGATTAACATCCAGTTTTTCCTGAACGTTTTCATATTACGCAATCCTAATCTAAACTTACTAATCTTCACCCCTACTAGTTACAATTTCGACTGTTCATATTTGTTTTTCAAATATTTCGATGACGTAAACAATAATCCAGACCAATTTTTATTCTTGTCTGACACACACACACACACATACAAAAATAATTATATATAATTGCGATTGTAAATTCACTGGAAAGAGGCTCTTCTCTGAAACAGTTTGTTCTTATTAAAATCAATGAAGTAATTTTGTAATTATCACTATTATTGAAGCAAACTTTGAACATTGTACGCACTAAGGAGTGTGCTATACAAAATTGAGAGGGTTGGAATACTGTCCGGACGTTAAAACCGAGGCAGTTGGTTGTCTTAATGGCCTACTTCATCCCGAGTCTTCGAAGTCTGGTCCACAGAGAAGTGAAGTAGAGTAGCGTTAGGAGTCGCATTGTCATGGTTGGTGGTGACCAAAACAGGTCCATACGCAATTCGATCTATTCGGATTCTGGACAGCATGTACACCAAATGTTTGAGGTGAGAATTTTCCAGCTGCCGTATGTAGACCAGCATATCCACCAGTCCGGCTGTAAACTCCAGGCATGGGTATTCGCTTTTTTTTACTTTTGTGAAGTGCACCCCTCGCCTTGGCGTTAAGGCAGTGAGTGGAACTTACTTTGCAGAGGTAGGCTATAAACGTGTGGGCTGATGTCTGTTTCTCTGGTTTCAACATAGAACTTTGCACCGATGTGCACCATTTCAAGTCGCCACACTCCATGTAGCACACAAAGCAAAAAAAGAAAGTAAAAAGAAATGAAAAATAGAAACAGTAAAGAGATATGAAGCAAAAAGAACAGTTATATTAAAGAACAACATAGTTTCATTGGAAATCATAAGTCACAAGGAGTGGATGCATCTGAGCCAGCCAGCCTTTGAGAACGATCGCTTTGAGCCATTTCACCAATTGTTTCCAACCATTGGTTTTTACCGTCCTGAGGACCGCAACCAGGAAGTCTATACCTTTCCACGTGGCTTACACTAACTGTTGTGGATTTCATTGGTTGATGGAGCCATGTTTTGTTTTGACCACCACTGGCTCTTCTCCAACCTGACCCTATGTCACTTAACATTGACTGTTTTCAAGAGAGCCCATGGCTAGGCAGGTATGCGTAACACATGTCCTAACCAGCTTCCCAGCCTCGTCTATTGGTTTCTCCTCCGTACCTAGCCCACCACTAGACGCCTAACCTCAATATTGCTCACCGTATTATACCACTTCACACGGGATGTAAGTAGAACGCAGACAGCTAGCCAGTCTTCTTATGTCTTCCACTTTCAGTGGTCGTGTTCCGCTAACAGCCACAAAGGAGGACGGAGCCGACTGCTGAGCAGTATACCCGCCGTTTGGTCGATATTCGGATGTCACGTCTACTCCAGAGACGGCGTAAACTAGCATATGCGAAACTAGCCCTCTGTATCCGTGGGCTGATGTAAGCTTTTCATGAGGAGGACCAAAATCTAATAGAGTAGTAAAGTGCAATAAGTGCATGCATTAGGAAAGTAGGGTGAAAAAAGCCATAGTTAGAAGGTCATACACTTTGCTTTTTCATCAGAAATTATACGATAAATAAAAGATTCCGGAGCCATGGTAGAAGTGGAAAATTGTCAGAAAAATGTTAATAACAATAAGGTTTTTGAATGACAAAAAAGAAAGTGATAAATATTACATTGTATTAAGGTATTTGCAACTGATACTATGAAAAATACAAAGATTAGTATTTATATCGTTAGAAATCAGTTACTCGGGACAGATTTCCTCATTTAACAGTCTGTTAAACACATTTATTATGCAAGAGTTGGTGATACTTACTACCTAGATATTATCTGCAATATGTCTTCACAGAAAACGAAGATTTGATGTAAGATGTGTAATAGGCATCGATTTAACAAAAAGAAACAAAAGTAACAGTTTTCATTGTCTGACCATATTGATGTTTACACGTATGTGTACATTGTCCCTTACGTCAGTTAAGATTTACCTCTGAGGCATAGAAATGAATTTCCCAGTTGGTCATGTTCTGAAGAGATTAACACTTGACTGTTTGTCTATGCATTCTGAAACACTTTTGTTAACTTTCAAGTACTTTTTAAAGGGATTTAATTTGTCTCAAGTTTGATCACGCATTGATATCATTCAGAGAGGCATTCCAAACCAGGGAGTACTGGACATCTGTTCTATCCTACTCAGAGATATTTTAGCTGTACGCATCCCCTAATAAGGAAAGAATCTAGAACCTTCAGGTTACTGGGTTAGCTCGTTGGCCATTCAGCCACTAAGATGGAATCCATTGGCCAGTCTATGAATTCCAACTAATATCCACTCGTGATTTTTAGCGCCACCGATATCATTAATAAGTATTTCCCCTTACACCCGACCCCACGGGTGACGAATTCTCGCTAAAACTTCAGACAACTTCGTCCGGTAGTCAGTCACTAGTGAGCATCAGATACTGAGGTAATCAACAAACTAGATTACTGGTGGTAACATATTTTGCTTGAGTATATAGGTAACAAATATGCATGATGTAATGCTGTCAGGAACTCGAAACTTTTCATAATCTGCTATCCGACCAATTATTATATACCAGGTTTTACTAGCTGTGTAAGCAAAGAGCCTCAAATATTTAGAGGTTTTCAAGAAATATATCCTTACAACTATATTTCGTACAAGGTATTAGTAGTTCTATTTTTTTTTCGGCCGAACTAGTCACTGAAAATCGAGTATATTCATTTTTCATGAATCCTGAAATTCATTTGCTTCTGCTGTCGTGTTGTTTTTATATGTAGTTGTAAATTATTGAATAATTATCAAGGTTATACTTTAGAAATTAATTGTTTAAGTTAGCTATGATTAGTACTGGAAGTGAAAAGTCATGACTGTTAGAGTTCTTCAGTTATAGAGTGAAGGGGATTACTCGCCGACGACATTAGCTGGTGGTCGCGCTAAAATCACGAATTGTTAGAAGCTGGAACTCGCGGACCAGCTACCAGATTCCGTCCGTGTACGAGTTTGCCTTGTAACCGGAAGGTCCTAGATTTGAACTCCGGTGGATGCGTGCCTCCAAAGAGTCCCAAACCAGGAGGAAACATCTGTTCAGTACTGTCTGGTTTACAGTGGTTCTTCAGCTGATATCGATCCGTGATCATACTTTAAAACAGATTAAATCCCTACGAAGTGACTTTTGAAAATTGAAGTCTTAGTGTTTGTTTTAAAAGAAGGAAGAGGAAAATAAGGTTGGCTTATTTTTCATGTTTGAGTGGCTCATAGTGTTAATCTGTTAAGAAAGCGATAATTTCTCTTTTCTTTCCAACCTGAATCAGATTTAATTGTGGTCTGTCGTCACTTAATCCACTTCCCTCACCCTCTAGTGTTTCATTCATCATTTCACCTACTCTCTGTTAAATCAAAATGTACAACTTTTTTTAAAATTACTAATGGATCCTTTTATTTTATTTGAAAGTGTAAACTATACATCATTAGTCTAAAGAGGAGTTGAATATATAATTTGAACACTCGTTTCTGCTTAAACTATTCACCTGAAAGCATCTCTGTTTTGTGAATTAGATAAGTATGGAGGATATCATCATGAGCTGACATCATTTAGAGTACCACTTGAAGGCCAGGGAGTACTGGACAGCTGTTTCGTCATAGTTTGGGATTCTTCATCGGCACGCACCCACAGGGACTCGAACCCAGGACCTTCTGTTGAAGAGTCCCAAACTGGGACGAAACAGTTATCCAGTATTCCCAGGCTTTCCAGTGGTTCTGTAACTGATGTCAGCTCTGGATGAAATCCTCCATGCAATCAAACGAAATCCCTACAAAACCAATACTTGAAAATTAATTAGATAAGTAGGCAGTACCAGTCTTACAGTATATTGTGACAAGTAAAACGTAAGTGGATTAACGAATGTGTGGCTCAGTGGTCTAGGCGTTTGACTTCCACTCGCCTCCAAAGCCTCAGGATGGTCGGGGGTGGGTGTCTCGCGCCACGGGTTGGCCACCCCTCCGCACACCTCTTGAAATGCTCCCATATGACCGGGCGTCTTACATAGCCTCTCCTGAGGAAGTCCTACTCACTGCCTTCACGTGGCGGAGGTGTTTCTCACCAAAGTGAGAGGGCGAAAGCGGATGCCTGGCGCTCTCCACCGGGTTGACTGTCCATTGGATGACAGTCTAGGGGAGATGGCTAAACCCTGATTCCAAACCTGCAACGACTGGCGTATGAAGCTCACTGGAGCTCACCGGCAGACGTATGGACAAAGGGCTTGTTGGATGTCCTGGATGTCTGGCCCCATTCAAAAAGGCGTATGAACCGAACTCCGGTCATCGGCTGCCAATGGATAGTGGACTCCTTACTCCACTCCTACTGCCTTGTAGGTCACACTTGGTTGTGTAAAGGCTAGAGCTGCACTCTCAAACAAAAGGCCGAGCGATTCTGGGGACATCACTCGTACCAAATTCCCATGAAACTTCATGAACTCTCTTACAAATGGCCGCGCCTGGGCAGCGATGATTCGAGACGTTCTTGAAGCCGGCTCATCCTCCCGTAGGAGATAGCCGAAGTAAAGTAAAGTGTGGATCGCATCTTCAGACCACGCTCCAGACACCAAGCTTTATGCAGCCTTCACACGAAACATGTGTGAGTCATTGCTAACTACATGGAATTGGAAGTCGAGTTTGTAAATTATCATTTTTTGGGTTTTATTTTTTTCAATGGTTTGGCCTTTGGAAATACTGGTCAAACCACTTTCATTTAGTAAACATTAACCTGTTATTTACAATATATTTCGCATTGATAACATTATATTACCTTGTGTATTGACCCTATCATCAGGAAGAGTAGGGTTCAGCAACTATAATTCAGTGATTTCAAGCCTAATACATAAACCATTTCGTCATATCAAATTAAGTATATGCACTAATAATTAAGGCGAATTTCTTGTTTCGGTATCTATTACAGGAATCCAGGATGAGCGTTTCGTCCTACTGATGAATCTCAAGTAGTAAGAAACTCTCGTCTTAGATTTCCGTACTAGTTACCACTAAACCCGATCTATGTGTTCAGAAAGAAGAAGCAGTTACAAGTCTTGCCTTGTCCTGATGACTGGATATCTTTATTCCCTCTTTCATTTGATTAAGTAATCTTTGGCTTTAACCTCACTCCTTTGATATAGTGTAATTTTACTTGTCTCTAGTTTCTATGATTTGAGTTGTTGAACTCAGTACTGTTATGTTGCTGCTGCTGAGTGGTTAATAGTAGTTTTTCCCGTCGCCAAGTTGTTATGTACTCGTCGCTAATTTATTGCTATGTACTGGTCGAGAATTTAATAGTCCTGACGCAAGAAGGCGGAAATCAGAAGACCACTAGGTTTGCGATGATACTTCTATTTTCCAAACACAAGGAGAATGCAAAAGTGGTATCACACCAAAAGTAAGTAAGTCACACAAAATTGTGTGGGAGCGAAATATATATGAATGTCCAGACAAGTGTGTGAACAATCAATAGACAGTCTTAACATGAATGGCTAATTATAATGGAGTATCGATCCATATATACATAGCGAAATATAGCAGACATGTCAACAACCACACATATAATATGGATATATGTCACCAAGCAACGGACTGTCAACAAACACTCATATTATATATAATACAAGGAGAATATACATTGTTAAAGGAGACAGGTTCATCAAGGTGAAATGGTCACAGACTAACAGAGCAACAGAAAGAGAGACCACCATATATATATATATATGTGGATACATATCAAGTACATTGTCATCTAATAATTTATTAGTCACTTATCATCTTAAGCATCTCTCGTCTTTATTACGTATCTCCTTTATCATTGTATGCATACATTTACTTTGTTTAAACTTGAACTGCCTGTACACAGCTGTTGAGAAGCGAAGGAAATAAATGATGGTACCATCTTATTCTGTTCTTGCTTTATTCAAATTCAGGTGTTACTGGTTTTGCCACAAGGTTACGTATTCACATGAAACGTCCTAATTTCATAGATGTGCTTCTTCAGAACTGTTATCAAATAAATAACTTCAGTCAATTCAGTTCCCCCGCGCCTTATTAGTCTCCAGTATTTACAACAAAGGTTTGAACAATTTGCGAGGTTTACCAAGAATATTATTCTGCACGACAGCGAATACTCCATGGTACAACTGTCCAAATCGAAAGATGCAACACGACCGAGAACTATCCCTCTGTATTGTTATGTGGCTCTAATTAGGACGAAAAATGTGCATCGATGATTCATTTGGTAGAATGCTCGCCAAACGCATCTCACTTGAACTAGGCTTGATTCCCTGGCTTAGGTACTTCTCAATTTCGTCCAGTTTACTGGCGAATTATTATTCCCTCGCATTCCGAGTGGAACATAGGGCTTCAACAACACATCTCTACTTTGTTCTGTTTTCTGCCGTCCACTTTAGTTGGGTCCATGATTGACCAATCTCTCTCATCTCTTCCTCACATGATCTCCTCCATGTTACCCCAGGATTTCACTTGAGAGCCTGGTGTGTATGTATGTGTATGTATGCCTGATCCATCTCCACTTTCTCCTACATATTTGTTGAGTGATCGGATCTCGCCTGTTAGTTTGTTCCCATAGTTTCTTGTTGCTTATTCTTTCTGACTGGCCATTTGATCTTCATTTTGAAGGCAGCGAAGGCAGCTGCTGATGAAAATCTGCAACTTGTTGGAAATCCTTTTCTAACCCGTATAGAAGAACCGACTTCACATTGGTGTTTAAAATCCGAATCTTGTTCCTTGTGCTGAGTGCGGAAGATTTCCGAACTGGTTTCAGGTTGATGAAGGCGTATTCTTGCTTGCCTTTCCGATTCTGTCTGACTCCGAAATATTCATCCGAACCGAGTGTCTGTATTTGAAACGATGCTTCCCAGATAAGTGAAGGAGGTAACCTCTGTTAAATCTCTCCCTTTGATAGTGATTGGTGCTGGTTGTTGTTGCTGTTGATTTGTTATTCTCATCACCCCCGTCTTCTCTGAGTTCACTTGGAGTCCTGTTTTCGCTACCTCTTACTGGTGAATAGTAAGCTTGTAAAATAGGAAAGGTTAAATGTACTTCTAGCAGCCACTCCTCATAAAACCAACATTAGCGTTACTGGAACTTCATATCTTTAAACCCTATGTTCCAATCTGAAGGCATAGAATAAAACCAACGAAATAAATGAGATGGCATTGTCTTATTTATTCTACACAAACTATCGTTTTTGCTTTATTCAAATTAAAGATATTTTTTAGTTATATTTCACATATTCACCTATTTAAACTATAATATATGCATCAATATTTTTCTGTCCATATTATTATTTATCAGGCTACTAGTGGATGACTGTTATACAAGTTGGTCACATTTCGATTTAAATCTAAAGACGTAAGTTGTTAAAACATACTTGTACTTTTCTATGTATGGGTTACGGTTGAGATATTTGATGGTCAAGTGTTGGTCTGCAAGGATTTGATCAGTGACGGGGTTGATCACGAGGTGACATCAGTTAGGGAACCATTGGAAAATCTGGGAGTACTAGGCGGCTGTTTGGTCCTAGTTTAGGACTCTTCAGCAGTACATACCCACTGTGGTTTGAACTGGTGGTTGTTATGATGAAAATCTCTAGATTTCTCAATTTTGTCTGTATTGTGAAGTTGCGAAGATTTTAAGAAAACTTCACTTATTTGAGTTTAGTTTATTTGAACTTAGTATTCTAGAGACTATTTGAAGATGATAGCATTATACTTTCAGATGGCACAGAATATTCTGGAAAAGTGGAACATTTTTCATGTTTAGGTTCTCTAGTAGTAAAAGTGTAGAGAAGTTAGTCTCCGGCCACTAATCAGTGTAGATATTTAGTCATCAATGTTGCTCGAGAAATTTATTGATTTGATGTCTAGTATTGTTATTAAGTTGGTTTGTACACGGACATTGGTGTCATTTAGGGTCATCTGTTATGTGAATAATTTGCCATTGAGTGACACACATTCAAACCATTGAGGTAATATAAGTTTTTCTAAGGTTGTAGACATATTTTTCTGATAAATGCATCAGTTTCATGACTTCTTTATGTATTAATGACAATGTCTCTTGTTAGTTTTGTCTAAAAGCTTTGTTTCCATCCCTGCCAAGTAATACTTTTTAAGTAGTTTTTTTGAAGTTAGAATGAACTCACATTTGAGATGTGATTTTAGACTGTTTAAATGCAAAATAATAAAGTTCCGACCAAAGGCTGCTACGTTGACATTGCGGTCGAGCTGGCATTTCGCAATGACGTAATGAGCTACACTGACAGAGCTAATGTTGCTGCAGGTCCTACTATGTCAGAAAAGTTGATTGGATGACGATTAAACTAAAAGCAATTTACGTCACAGTGTGAGGTGTTTGTACTATATTGGAGGTTTGATGGCGAAGTCGTATTGACGGAGAACAGGGACATAACAGCAGTAAGATGACCAGCATGCTAGGTATTTTGCATCTTCGCTTTGGAGAGGAGGGTTAGGAATGATCGACCCCAAAAATTGTGCATCCCGAGTTGTTTCTCCGTAGTCCGTAACCGTCGGTAAGACCTTAATACGGACGCAGCTCCGAAAACCAATTCATTAAATAGGCTGTGTATTTGCGTTTAACCGGACTCAAACATTTGTCCCCTGGGATCTGCAGTCGCCAAACACTAATGCTATTTCAGGTACCCTAAGAAAAGATCAATTTCTGTATTGTGGACAGCTGGGAGTTAAAAACCGCCCACACACTTCACGTCAGTTAGTTAAAATAATAAATTTGTTCTTGTTCCAACGGTTATTGTTTCCTTGTTATAAGTTTCAAGAGGTTTCAACGCTATAAAATTCACTTTCTTTATTGTTAATGATATTTCAGTCTGTGTTAGTTGACTAACTCTACAGTCGAAACTGTTGAACAAACAATGATTGTTTCTCTGTATTCAAAACTATGCAGGAATGTACATCATGAACTCCTTCGTAAATTTTTAAAAATAAGTCATGCATGGTCATCATATTTGACTTTTTGTATTTGAACACAACTGTTTAAACCAAAGAATGGCAAGGATTTAGGCACTTTGGTGGAGTATAATTCCATATTAGATAAGTTTATCTGACATTACACTCAGTGATACAGTATTAATAATGAAAACCCATGGGAAAAACAATAGTTTGGGAATCATCTGCAGTACGTACCCACCGCCAGGGTTTGAAACCAGGACTTTCCGGCTACAAGGCAAGCTCGTATACCATTCAGTCACTGGGACCCGATTCAGTGGCCACTCCATGAATTCCAACTTCTACCAATTCGTGATTTAGCGCGACCATCAACCAATATCATTGGCGGGACATCCATCCTCGCACACTTGACTGGATAAACTTCACTGGCCACGACTTCTCACTAGAACTCCAGGAAACTCCTTCTTGTAGCAAGTCACTAGCGAGCATCAGATTAATTTTCAGCAGTTGGTTCGTAAGGATTAGTTTTGTTTTTACGGGTTTGACCGAAAGCTCCTGGGTTCGAATCCCAGTGGGTGCGTACTGCTGATGATTCCGTCTCTCCGATTAAAGGGAAGTTTCTGTAGCGGTTGGATTGATTTTCCGCGGTGAGGTGGCTAACTTTCACATTCAACTTTCCTTCTTTTCCCGGACTTAGGACCGGCTAGAAAACCGGCGAACTAGTAAACTGGTGAGGTTCCGGTGGAACAGGGTTTCAACAGCACATCTCCATTTTCTCCTGTTATCTGCAGTCCTCTTCAGCTTGCCCCACGATTGTCCATTAGCATTCATCTCCCCCTCATACGATCTCCTGCATATCACCTTCGGAATCCTGCGGAACTTGTCGTTTCCCAATCGGGTTCTACGCGAGCAATAGTCTGGGGCACAGTATCAACCAACGGTTTCTTCAGAGTGTGCCCGATCCACCTCCATTTTTTTCGGAATATTTGCTGAGCAGTAGGTCCTTGATTGGTTCGGTTCCAGAGTTCCTTTCTGGCTATCTGATTCTTGGTATGGAGCTGGCAAAGTGTTATGTACTCGTCGCCAAATTATTGTTATGTACTGGTCGAGAATTTAATAGTCATGACGCAAGAAAGACGGATATCAGAAGACCACTAGGTTTGCGATGATACTTCTATTTTCCAAACACAAGGAGAATGCAAAAGTGGTATCACACCAAAGTGTCACACAAGATTGTGAGAGCGAAATATATATGAATGTCCAGACAAGTGTGTGAACAATCAATAGACAGTCTTAACATGAATGGCTAATTATAATGGAGTATCGATCCATATATACATAGCAAAATATAGCAGACATGTCAACAACCACACATATAATATGGATATATGTCACCAAGCAACGGACTGTCAACAAACACTCATATTATATATAATATAAGGGGAATATACATTGTTAAAGGAGACAGGTTCATCAAAGTAAAATGGTCACAGACTAAGAGAGCAACAGAAAGAGAGACCACCATACACATATATATATATATATATATATATAATATATATATATATATATGGATACATAGCACAAAGAAAGTTGTTGATAAGAGTCTTCAATAGCCTGTTGGAGGATATCGTGTGAGGAAGTGATGAAAGGTTATGGACAGTCGTTAGGTGAGCTGAAGAGGGCCGCAGAGAACAGGAAAAAATTGAGATGTGCTGTTGAACGCACTATGTTTCACTTAGAACCCAAGGAAATAATAATATATTGCCACTGTGTTTCTGTCAAATATTTTATATGTTCGGTGTGTGGCGTGGGACTGCATTCATTGGTCGGATGTCCAAGAACACGAATTTGTAACTTCGACCTATAGAACTGTACACTAGTGGTTTGATTTATATCGACAATGAAATTCCTTTGAGCATTGGTTGTGGAAAAATAAATTGAAACTTTCTCTATATTTTTGCCTCTGAGATAGGAAAACTGCTATTAGATTATGTAATATCTATTGGTATTCGAGTTGATTATATACATATATATATGTGCATTTTTTATATATTTTAAACAGCCTACTTACTCAGGACTCATCAAATTTATGGGAGAAATTAGATGTTCTGATATGTAGTCAACATTATCAAAATTTATTTCATTTACCTGCCTATGAAATATTAGATATATCTGTTGACTGTAAATTACACAATCCAGACAATAATGAACCTTTGTCTGGAAAGTTATTTATATCTGCTCAATTTATCTGTTACAATTCACTGGTTAGTTTCATTTTCTAACGCGTCTGTTTTGCCTCCTTTTTTAGTTTTTTATTTCAATCACGTTTACGTAGATTGCAATCGAATTTTTTTAATTATAATTTTTAGAAATGATATTTGATTTATTTGTTGACAGAATCAATGTTAAATTTACTAATTGTAATAATTTTGCCTTTAGATATATAAAATGACTCTAAAAGATGTATGGACTTTGTGGATGATAAAACAGAGGTGATGAAGATTCCTGGCCAACACCAACAGCAACAACAACAACAACAGACAACAATCAACCAGCATAAATTGGAGGAACTTGAAAGAAACAACCTCCTTTACCTACCTACCTGGGAAGCATCGTTTCAACTACAGGCGAACGGAATTGATGAGGATACCAAAGCCAGAATCGGAAAAGCAAGACAAGCTTTCATTACTCTTAAATCTGTGTGGAGGTCAACAGCACTCAGCATCAAAAGCAAGATCCGGATTTTCAACTCCAATGTGAAGTCAGTGCTACTATATGATTGGATCAGAGACTTGGTGCGTCATAAAGAGCATCTCAAACAAACTGCAGACCTTCATTAAGAGTTGTTTTCTCTCAATACTCAAGATCAGATGGCCATCAAGAAACGATCAGCAACAGGAATCTCTGGCAATCAGCGAACCAACCCAGCAGGAACCGATTGTAAACAAATAGGCAGGAAGAAATGGAGATGGATTGGCCATATTCTGAGGAAACAGACCATCAAGTGACATCACTAGACAAGCCATCGCTCGAGTGGAACCAGGCCGAAAGGGAAGCGGCGAGTTGGTCGTCAGTGCAAGGGTGGGGTGACTTGGAGGAGGTTATGTGAAGAGGAGATGAAAGCGTGTGGGCAGACTTGGAGCGGGGTGAAAAAGTTGGCAGAAAACCGAACGCAATGGAGACGTTCGGCTGAAGCCCTATGTTCCTCTAGGAATTAAAGGATATAATAATAATAATAATATATACCATTTCAGTGAAGCTCGAAAATTTCGGAGTGAAAGCCGACAATGTACCAGAAGAGGCAGGTGAATATATAGAAGACATATATAGGTGATGAAGACATCTAACCAAGAAGAAGAAGAAGAAGAAGAAGCGCTAATCACCATCGACAAGGGAAATCTAAAGGAAGTTACTTTATTCATTTACCCAGGCAGCATCGTCTCAACTACAGGTGACGTGGCACGGATGAGGATGTCAGAGGTAGTCGGCTTTGGAAAAGCCAAGACAGACATACTTTCATTACTCTGATGTCAGTGTGGAATTCTACTGCACTCAATGTGAAGGATGAAATTCATATTTCAAACATCAATGTTATTTCAGTCAGTTCTTCTATGTGGATCAGAAACATGTCATCAGCGTTACGAAGAACATTTATAACAGGCCATTACAGACTTGTATCAACAGTTGTGTTCTCTAGCCTCATGTTGAAGGTCAAACGGCCAGGAAGATAAGCAACAAGAAACTTTGAGAATAAATCAATCACGAACTTCTTGCTCAAGAAATCTGTAGAAGAGAATGAAGATGGATTGAGCACATTCTAAGAAGACCGTTGAGTAAAATGGGGCCCCGGGTCCTCGAGTGGGGCTCAAATGGGAAACGATGAGTTGGGTGTGTGGTCGAGGATGGCATGGAGGAGATCATGTGTGGTAGAAATGAGAGCTTGTGGGTAATCGTGCAGCCAGGTAAAGAAAAGTTTGTAGAGAGCAGGATGAAATGAAGACGTTCCACTTGGAACCCAATGGAATAATATAAACAGTAATAATATAATGATTATTTCTATCGACGCATGTTAAATTAGCAGCATTTGAAAGATATCTATTTGTGGCACATGGCAAACCCAAGAACACGCAATTTCCAACGTTCAGCTTTACACAGATGGTACAGATGTTCAAGTTATCACATTTTATGTAGCCTACAATGGTAGAGGAAAGCAAAACAAATTAAAAAAGAACTGTAATGAACAGAATTGTACTGGAAAAAGAATAATTACATGTGGACTTAATGGATTTGGGAGACAAAAAAAGAATGAATGCACATCTGCGTAGTTGAAAATGATTTTGAGCAGCATCAGGTCGTTGGTTCTTACTTCCCCTTGGGTACTGAGTGGATTTAACTGCACATCTTCATTTCAATGTGTTCTCTGCAGTCTGGTTTAGCTGACTCTGCGATTCCCCATTAGCTTCCATTTCTCTCTCACAAGATCTCCATGTCACCCTCCACTCCAAGGCTTGGAGGGCGATGTCACTCAACGGTCTTCTTAGCATGTATTCGGGCCATCTCCATTGCCTTCGGTATATTTATTGGACGATAGGTTCTTGGTTGGTCCGCTTCTCGAGTTTCACGTTGGTAGTTCGTTCTAGCCGTTTGATCTTCAATATGGAACGATGGCAGTTGGTGACAAAAGTGTGCAGCCTGTTGGAAATGCTTTTCGTCGTGCTCCCAATTTTTGGCCTATATAGAAGAACTGACTGACTTAAGACTGGTGTTGGAAATCCGAATCCTATGCTTTACACTGAGTACAGTAGAATTCCACACTGAATTCAGATTGATGAAGGCTTATCTGTTTTACTTTTCCGATCCCAACTGCCTCTGAGATCCTCATTAGCGCTGTCACCTGTAGTTGAAGCGGTCCTGTCTGAATAATTGAATAGGGTAACTTTCTGTAGATTTCTCCTGTTGATGGTGGTTTACGCTTCTTTTTGTTGTTGGTTAGGTATTTTTTTCACCTTTGTCTTCTTTATATCCACTCTAAGTCCCTGTCTTCATTTCTACTTCTCCCAACATGTTGGTTGTCACTGGTAGATGATTTTTGAGTTTATGTGACATTAGATACATATCCATCTGGTCCAACGTGTACCTGTCTTCTCGCTCCTCATGGTCTGTTACATGAACCAGTGCACCACAGTCAGGAATATCATTGGTGATAGTAGACAGCTTAGTGTTACTCTTTGATATGTATCCATATAATATGTGTGTTTGTTTGGCTGCCTGATATATTTTTGCTCTCACACTCTTGTGTGACATTTTTGATTCTCCTGGTGTTTTGGAAAATAGAAGTATCATCACAAACCTAGTGGTCTTCTGATTTCCATCTTTCTTGCGTCAGGACTATTAAATTCTCGACCAGTACATAACAACAATTTGGCGACGAGTACATAACAATGATTTGGCGACGGGGAAAACTATGGTCTCTTCTAAATTGGAATTACTATTTGAACGACAAATGAAATTAATGGAAATGTTCGTCAACCAACAGACTGGTCCAACTTCACCTTCAAGCAATCCCAATCATACCATGCTACCATCTGTCGACGGCATTGTGAATAGTATTTCACAGTTCAATTATAATCCAGATGCGAATGTCACTTTTGACACATGGTATCAACGATATGAGGATTTATTCACAGTTGATCTCGCCTCACAAGACGATGCTTGGAAGGTGCGAGTGTTATTACGTAAATTGGGTCCCGCAGAATATGAAGGTACTGCAACCTAATTTTACCCCAAAACCACGTGACAAGTGTTTCGATGATACAATAAAGCTGCTGCGTGAACATTTTGGAGACCACTCCTCATTATTCAGCATACGTTATCGTTGCCTCAAGCTGACAATGAATGAAAATGATGATTTTCTTACTCACGTTGGCACAGTCAACCGAGAATGTGAGAGATTTCGACTCAGGTCCTTAACAGATGATCAATTCAAAGCCTTGATTCTCATATGCAGTCTTCAATCTCCTCGTTTCACAGATATCCGAACTCGACTGCTCAATCAGCTAGAACAAAATCCTAAGTTAACATTACATGACATAGCTGATGAATATCAACGGCTGATTAATTTGCAGAAAGACACACACCTGGTCGAATCAACACCTTCGAGAAGCTCTGATATTCATGCATTACGAAAGAGCAAAAATCTCTCATCATCCACTCCTGACCCACCTTCTCCTAATGTTCCGCGGAAATCTACACATACTCGTCCAACTTCTCAAAATACTGCAAAGAAGACCCCACCATCACCATGCTGGCATTGTGGCGCGTGGCACTTTGTAAAGTCTTGTCCATACAAAAATCATCGTTGCAGCAAGTGCAAAATCATTGGTCATAAAAATGGTTTTTGTCAGCCACGCAAACCCAGATATCAAAATCCAGCGAAAGCTCGACAAACTGTTGGTCCTAAATCTTTAAGGAGATCATTGAGTCTAGGCGCAACCTGTCAAGTCACAACACCAGGTATGCGGAAATATATTGATCTTCAGATGAATGGTCATGATACACGTCTGCAGCTAGATACCGCCTCTGATATTACTGTTATATCAGAGAAACTTTGGAATGATATTGGCAGACCACCTATCACAAATACTTCCCAGACTCTTGTCAGCGCCTGTGGTGGGCGGCTCAAACTAATTGGTGAACTCAAATGTTCTGTTTCATTCCGTAACATTAAATTCAGAGGAATCTGCTACGTCACCAAGAGTGATTTAAATCTTTTGGGACTTGATTGGTTCGATCGTTTGCATCTGGCTGATGTCCCACTAAATTCGCTATGCAATGCAGTCAAGAAGCATAAAATGTCAGACAATTCCGGACGAAGCCGAAGCCGCAAACCCAACAGGCAGACGAAGCGACAGACGTCAACAACAAGCTCAACGGTTCCAGATAAACCCTCAGGAAACCATCCTACTAATCATCAATCTTCTCAAAAGAGGAGGTGGTATGTATCCATATAATATGTGTGTTTGTTTGGCTGCCTGATATATTTTTGCTCTCACACTCTTGTGTGACATTTTTGATTCTCCTGGTGTTTTGGAAAATAGAAGTATCATCACAAACCTAGTGGTCTTCTGATTTCCATCTTTCTTGCGTCAGGACTATTAAATTCTCGACCAGTACATAACACTCTTGTCTTTACTTTGTAGGCTTTATGTAGCTTTCTGTTCTAAATCACTCAGCATGTGGCTTCACCATATCGGATAATAGAAATGTATTACATCAAGTTTGTGATGGAGCAAAATTTGTTATTGTAATTCTATAGAATTATGTTTTGTGGTTTTTCAATGTATTGAATGACTGTATTACCAACTTATTCATTTTTACAGACAGAAGATACTAAAATTATTCTCCCTCTACATGAAGTAGTATCAGCTGAAGCTTTTCCACAGAATAATTCACCTGCTACTGGAGGTGTTCTCATCATAACCATTGACAAGGTTAGTTATTTTTACGTTGTCGCTATACGACAGAAACTCTTATTAGTGTCTTTTTTATAATGATAAATGTGATTGTTTGAGTCTGAATAGCTTTGATATTTTAAGCATTGTAGAAGTGCTATATATATATATATATATATATATATATATCTTTTGTATTCACGGATTAGGTGTTTTATACAAGTGGGAAAACTAACCATTTAACAATCACTTTCAGGAACCATTGGGACTCGAACTGTTTCATATGCTTGCCCGACGGATAACTGCTACTTTGACGTGGTGGTTGGGCTTGCATATAAAAATGACCCAACAAGCTATACTGGCTAGAACTAATGTTCCTGCAGGTCCTCCCATGCCAGGAAGGTTGTTAGGATAGCGATTGGAATGAGAGCAGTTACCGGCATAGTGTAAGATGTTTATACTATGTTGGGGGGAGGGGTTCTTTAAGCAAACTTGTAAGCAGTAAGCTGTTTCCTTCAGGTGACCAACATGTCAGCTATGCTGCCTCTCCACTCTGAAGAGGAGGGATTGCAAAAGGTCGACCCGAAAATTGTACATCCCGACACTCTGCGGTGGTCCGTAGTGTGCGGTAAGTCCCTAATACGGAAATAACTCTACAAACCAGTTCAAACAGGTCGTGTGTGTGTGTGTGACTGGCCTCCAGCAGTTGTCCCTTGGGCTCTGCAGTCATGCAACACTAATTCTCTCTCAAAAATGTCACTACCTCAAGAAGAAAACCTTATTCCACAATGTGGGCAGCCGAGAAGTAACAACTACCCACATCTTCCAAAAGCACACAAAGCTCTTCTGATCATCACCCACTTTTATCTACATCAACATCAATTTGCTTTCCTATTACTGTTAATAATAATAATAATAATTTACTTTATTCCAAAAACAGTACTTATAATACAGAATGGAATTCTCAGCATTTGTCACAATATTGACATTAAATTATAATAATAATAGTAATTATTAATAAAATACGACTCGGTACATTATGGATAACAAGAGATGCACCACACAAAACTGTCTCATAGTTTGTGTGAGGGCTGTGATACTTTTTGGACGCACAGATCGAAGCAGGCGGCTGTCTCAAGGTCTCATCCCCTCCCGAGTGTTTGAGTTGAAGTCTCATTCACAATGAAGTGAAGAAGCGGTTAGCGGTGACCAAAGCAGATTCATGTGTCATTCGATCCATTCAGATTCTAGTGCCCATGTACACCATAGGTTTGGAATCAAAGATTTCTAGGTTTCCCCTAGATGGTAGACTTGCATATGCACCAGTCCGGTTGCAATCACCAAAAGTTCGAATTTCACCATGTACTTTTGTGAGGAACTCCTCCGCCATTTTGTGAAGGTAGTGAATAAGACTTACCTGGCTGTCAGAGGTAAGCTATGAACTCACAGTCACATGAGATGATTCACTCTCAGCTGTACCAGGTTGTTTATGACTTAAACACTGAGACGATTCTTTTAATTCTCAGATAGCGCCATACCTGGTTTTGAACACATCGATAATCAGTTACAATAGTTACTAAAGTACCTTTTTCATTTTTATACACATGCGAATGCGTTACAGCTAATGTGCGTTTTACCTGGTAGCTCAAACCTTGGTTCGACTTCATTTCAATGTATATTATGACAAAGTTTGGCATGTTTTTATTCTCAATTTTTAGGTGGTGTACATATTTACTGATATGGTTGCTTATGAAGAAATTCTTCAGAAAATTGGCTCTAATCTGGAAGCATCAAAAGGGTATGTTGTACTGTGTTATCTAAGAAAAAGAAGTCTAAATTTAATGAATAAAAAAACAATTACTCTTTTAAAACATAATATTAATGATGCATTGGTTTTGTGCCATAATAGTAGTGGTTTCGCAAACATCACATGAATCTAGTTATAAGCGGTCATGAGAACAACAAAAAGAAGAAGGAACTTTTACTTTGGCAGTGAGGATATGCGTAAAAGATGATGCGACCACCACTTCAACTAGTGAAAATTCTACAACATCGTTGATTAACACCTCGTGTCTAATATAAATCAGTATTGCTTACCATGTTGCTTCATCTTTGGTGAACAATTGCGTGGCGGTAATTATGACCAAGAAATTACGATCTTTCAATGTCTTTTTGGTACTAGCAGTGTAGTTAAACTGTCATAAAGTAGGAGATAGAATCGCTCTGCAGTACACGTACACTTCTATGGGTGGCTCGATATCTCAATGGCATCATTATTATATCCTTTAATTCCTAGAGGAACATAGGGCTTCAGCCGAACGTCTCCATTGCGTTCGCTTTTCTGCCAACTTTTTCACCCCGCTCCAAGTCTGCCCACACGCTTTCATCTCGTCTTCACATGACCTCCTCCAAGTCACCCCACCCTTGCACTGACGACCAACTCGCCGCTTCCCTTTCGGCCTGGTTCCACCCGAGCGATGACTTGTCTAGTGATGTCACTTGATGGTTTCCTCAGAATATGGCCAATTCATCTCCATTTCTTCCTGCCTATTTGTTTACAATCGGTTCCTGCTATGTTGGTTCGCTGATTGCCAGAGATCCCTGTTGCTGATCTTTTCTTGATGGCCATCTGATCTTGAGTATTGAGAGAAAACAGCTCTTAATGAAGGTCTGCAGTTTGTTTGAGATGCTCTTTATGACGCACCAAGTCTCTGATCCAATCATATAGTAGCACTGACTTCACATTGGAGTTGAAAATCCGGATCTTACTTTTGATGCTGAGTGCTGTTGACCTCCACACAGATTTAAGAGTAATGAAAGGTTGTCTTGCTTTTCCGATTCTGGCTTTGATATCCTCATCAATTCCGTTTGCCTGTAGTTGATTAATTTTTAATTTTATTTATATTTTGAGTAAATCAAATGCAATATTGTGACAAGTGCTGAGAATTTCATTCTGTATAATAAGTACTGTTTTTGCAATAAAGTAAAATAAATTATTAAATTATGAAATGATGCTTCCCAGGTAGGTGGGTAGGTGAAGGAGGTTATTTCTGCTGATTGTTGTCTGTTATTGTTGTTGCTGTTGGCCAGGAATCTTCATCACCTCTGTTTTATCTATGTTCACTTGAAGTTCTGTCTTTGATGCTTCTTCTGCAAACTTGTTGCTTTTCACTTGCATATCTTCCAGTTTGTGGGAAATCAGACATATATCATCGGCGAAGTTCAAATCCTCCAAGTTTTTGTGTGAGTCCATTTTATGCCTGTATCCTCATTGCCCGTTGTCTGTCGCATTATCCAATCTACTGCAATTAGGAAGATCATTGGCGATAATAGACAGTCTTGTGTCACTCCCGTCCTCACTTCGAAGGCTTCAGTAAGTTTCCCGTTGTGGATTACTTGGCATGCAGCATTGTCGTGTAACTGTTGGATGAGATGTATAATTGTCGATGGGACCCCTTGGTGGTAGCGAAGTAGTTGCCAAATGACCACACGATCGACGCTGTCGAAGGCCTTTTCAAAGTCGATGAAGTTGAGTGATGTAGAGAGGTGACTCCCATTCCAAGATTTGTTCAATGATGATCCGTAGAGTGGCGATTTGATCAATATATGACTTGTTTCTCCTGAATCCAGCTTGTTCCGGTCGAAGTTTTTCATCCAGGTTGGCTTGTTTGATTCTCTCGAGGATGATGCGGCTTAGTATTTTGCTTGGGATGGACGGGAGCATAATTTGGCACCAGTTCTTGGATTGACTTAAGTCTCCTTTCTTTGGTAGTTTTGAATAAGTATCCTTTCTTCCAATCCTCAGGTACTTTGCCCTCTTTCCACACCTTCTCCAGTAATGGCGCCATCAAGTCCGCAACGGCATAGATAACTTAATTTAGACAATGCCTAAGAGTCTGTGTGTTGACACATATCCTGTTGATAGGAAAGTTTCACTACCTGAAATAGATTTTTGATGAGCTAGACTATGAGCCACATATATAGTCTGAAGGTTAGTGATACTACTACTTACTCAGTCAGAGTGAAGTAGTTAGAGTGGAAGTTAAAGCATGTGATCTTAATAAAATTATTCATTGTGTAGTATTTAGAATAAGTCTTGAAGTTTAATTGGTGGATGGTGACTAGCAGTGGGATCCAGGATGCGCATTTCGTCCTATTTAGGGCTCGTCAGCTGGATAAAATAAGTCTTGAGGTATTTACACAATAATCTCAAGAAAAAGCGTTTCAATGTTCAAAATCGATAGTGTTACGTTACGTATTGTTTCTTCACCTAATTAAACTCTACCAAGCCAACTGATTGTCTTTTACAAGGCTTATAATCTATCAAGTGTTAGCTTGCGGGGATTTGATTGGTTTCAAAATTGCATGATCGTGGGTTGATATCAATTAGAGAACCATTAGGAATTAAGAAGTGCTGGGCAGCTGTTCCCTCTTTTAAATGATATCAACCCGTTATCCAACTTGAAATAGATTTTTTATGAGGTAGACTATGAGCCACATATATAGTTTTGAAGACTTGTAATACTACTACCTACTTCGCCAGATTGAAGTAGTTATAGTGGAAGTTAAAGCATGTAATCTCAATAAAAGTCTTCATTGTGTCATGTTTAGCATTAGTCCTAAGGTATTTATACAGTATTTTCTCAAGAAAAAGCTTTCAATGTTCAAAATCGACTATGATATATTACCTATAGGTTTCTGTACCCAATAAAAAATTTACGAAGCCAACTAACTTTTTTTTTACAAATCTCATTATCTTTCAAGTGTTAGTTTGTAGGGATTTGATTGATTTCAAACTTGTTTGATCACGTGTTGATGTCAATTAGAGAACCATTAAGAACCAGGAAATTCTGGGCAGGCGTTCACTCCTATTTTGGGACTTTTTTAACTGATATCGACCCGTTATCAAACTTAAAACAGATCAAATCCCTACAAACACTAAAAATTGGAAATTAATCTGATGCTCATTAGTGAATGAATATCCGACTTAGTTGCGTGGAATCCTAGGGAGAAGCCGTGAACAGTGGGGACCACCAGGTCGGTTGCAAGGCTAAATACTCTCAGATGACATTCGCTTGTGTTTGCGGTAAAAAAATCGCAAATTGACAGGAGTAAGAAGTGATGAGCCATTGGATTTCGTCCCAATGGCTGAATTGTCTATCATCTAACCTCGTAACCTGAAGGACTTGGATTCGACCCCTGATGGAGAGTCCCAAACTGGGAGGAGACAGCTGTCCAGTACTCCCTGATGGTTTTCAGTGGTTTTCTAACTGATATCATGTTGTGATCTAATTTGAAACTTATAATTTTGTTCTCTTCAATTGATATTTTTTTAGACCTAGATCTGATGTCTCGGGTGTTATTATTGACTGCTTACCAGATTCATTCAACACTTCAGTAGAAATTTCACAGCCCTATTATAATGCTAGTAGCAATGCTGTTCAGTCTAAATTATCAAGTAAGCACTTTTAATTAGTATGTACAGTTTTATTTGTTTGTTTCTCGGGAATTTCATTGTTAAATGTGTGTGTGTATGTTTCGGTTTTTGTTTAAGTGTAACCACTGTAACGACAAGGGCCAGGCAATAGATCGTTTATTGAGAAAATCAAGAGATGTTTATAGATTTTTATGTACATTGTTAATTAGCGTTATTGTTAGCAGAGAAGAAACGTCTTCTGATTGGTTGTCTTCTTGCTGTGAAGGTTATTCCGTACTGCTTGTGACCGTTTCTCAGAAAGTTAAGCCGTATATCTGCGAGTGGTATTTGCACACGTTTTGTCTTCTGTGATTGGTTAGCGAGTTCCTCAAGGTCAAGCTTTGCTATTGTTTTTTTCTCATGACCTAGATTCGCGACGTAAACATTGACGTAAATTGTTGTCTACAATTTTGGCTTGTAGACAGCTCTCACCACACCACTACTTTCTTTTTTGGATGTGTGGTATATCTGTTAATTTCTACCTAGGAAAACAATCGAACATTTCACTTAATTTATGGTTTTTTTTCAGATTAACCAGGTGATCGATTTCAGAAAATCAAACAAACAGTGAAGCGATATCTGAAGTTTTATTGTCTCTTTTGAAATGGAGTAGTTTTCAGTATTCCAACTATTCATTTAATTATTGCTATTGTTAGTAACAGTGATGAAGTGTTGATCTTTTAGGGGAATATGCAATCATGACTTTACATCACTACTGGTTTCTGGGTTCGACCCCCTCTGTGTTAACCACTGGAGGTATAGCTTTAGTTGAAAGTCGTTCTCAATGGGGCAGATGTATTCGCGCTTTGTGACTTACCTCGTATATCTTTTAAATCCTTTGTATTTTTCTATATTACTATTCTTTCTCTCGCACATTGGTGTTTATTATGAATCTTCATTGATTTATTCCCCTTTATGAATTTAAACAAAGCAAGAACTAATGTTTGTGCAGAGCAATATGCGGTCATCAATTATTTCTTCGTAGGATTCTCATCAGTTGCTTACAACCTAAAAGTTGATTGTGTAAATGTGTGGTGAGAGCTGGCTGCAAGCCAAAAGTGTAGACAACAATTTACGTGAATGTTTACGTCGCGAATCTAGGTCATGAGAAAAAAACAATAACAAAGCTTAACCATGAGGAACTCACTAACCAATCATAGTAGAGACTTAACGTGTGCAAATACTATTCGCATATATATATATGGCCTGACTTTCTAAGAAACAGCCACAAATAGATGATAGAATAACCTTCAGCAAGAAAACAACCAATCAGAAGACTTTGCTTCTCTGCTAACAATAACGAATAATAATGTTTATAAAAGTCTATAAACATCTCTTGATTTTCTCAATAAAGGATCCATTTCCTGGCCCTTGTCTTTTGTCGTTACAAATGTACATAGAATTTTTTTATACTTCCAAGGATCAACATGATTTTTCTTAACAGAGATACATGTTAACAAACAATGTTCAGAAGTTCTACTAATATAACTTTTGAAGGAGGTCAAGGTTAGAAAAAATACAAACATGCGCAAAACTAATGGTCGGATACATTAAAAATTGAATTGTACAGTCAAGAAAAAGGGTGTGAAGTTGATGATGTGTAATGGTGTGTTGAGTTTAACTAAAGTCACAGAAACAAAAAAAAGAACTGAATTCCAGCCTGACAAAAAGAGTGGGGAATTGGGGGATAAAAGCAAAAGTCTACATGTTGGGTCATTATGGCAAACAAAGACTAATAAGTGAATCTTTTTGAACCCATAAGTCAGGTCATAAACGTTTAATAGCAATAGCTCCGGCTAATTCGAGGAGAGTTGGGTTGTATTGTCTATAATAATAATAATAATAATAATAATAATAATAATAATGATAATAATCTTGAAGGACTTCATTCTGTCCACCTTGATGGCCTGCATCGAGAAGATTTCTGGCAATAGCACTGTTCAAAGCATTTGTTCCCATGAGACGTTCAGAGATTCTGAGATATATCCTTCTTTCTGTTCTCCCAGTGTAACTGCTTCCGCAGATACACGTAAATTTGTATACACTATTAGAACTAACATGAGAAGGGTGTCTATCAGCCTATGAATGTACCAAAGACTTTGTTGCTCGATAAACTGGACCAATTTGGCTGCAGGGATAGGTTGCGGCTAGAGAAGTTCTGAATCTTCGGTTGATTATCTTGCAATACTATCGCTTTTAAAATCGATTTGGATGAAGATAGGTTTCTTATATACAGTGGTTTGTTTCACCGTTAGATATCTAGATCTTCCATACATTTTTTAATGAAATTTGGAGGGTAACCATTATTTTTAAATATTTAGGAATTCTTCATCCTGTATCTCTGTGGAGCATATTCTTCTGACTCTGTAACATAGAGTTTTGACCGATTTTCATTTATTGTAACTAATTGGACAAAATCTGTCGAAATTTAAGTATAGTCCATTCCACACGGGTTTTCCCTGAACGGATCCTTGCAGACTTCCTTCTTCCAAGCATTGTATGGCAATATCAAGGAAATGAAATTTTCTATCATTTTTGTGTGCCATTGTGAAGTCAGTATTCTCATGTGCATCACTGAACAGTTGAAGTAGATGAGATGCACGATTTTCGTTATCACATATTTTGAAAGTTTCGTCAACATATCGACAATAGGAAGTTGTCGCATCGATCGCACTTTTCAGCTTTGTTATCTCAAGATAAGATTAGACATGAACATGCCTGCTAGTACGGGATCTAGTGGAGTGACCATAGCTAAATCTTCCTTTCGACGATAGAGGTTATTATCAAACCGAAATTGTACCTCCATGACGCACATTAGTAATAAGCGTTTAAATACCTTCTCTGACAAGCAGGCATTTCGGAATGATGTCATATAGTGTCGATAGTTTCATGAATTGGAATCCTTGTGAATAGGGAGGTTACGTCGAATGATACCATGAACTTGTTTATTAACGTGTGTCCCTGTTAACAAAAAGTATAACAAAATTCTGTGTACATTTACGGAATCAACTTTTAGGCTGTAAGCAGCTGATGAGAATCCTACGATGAAATGAATGATGACCTCATATTTCTCTGCACAAACATTTGTCTTTACTTTGTTTTAAAAAATATCCCTTCAAGGGATTGTGAATATTGTCCTAACTTTTGTTCTTTTTTTACACTTTACAGATGTTTCTGGATGCTTTGCCAGTCGTTATTCACATGGGAATCGTTTAGGTTCAGTGGATCCAGATGCTGAAAGTAAAAGACTTGATAACTGGAAGGCATACTTTGAAGAATATGGTTCTGGTGTATCAATGCGACGAAATGAACGTCTCAAGGAGCTTGTTTTATGCGGATTACCTGAAGCGAAACGTGGACGTTTATGGATGATTTTAAGTGGAGCAGAAAGTGAGGTAACTTGATTTCTGAATTGTGATAAACATATTAATTCGTCATTGTTTAAATTAATTTGAATTTTCCGTTGATTGTTTGTGGTTGGGCTCAAATGCTTTGTCTCCGTTGACACGCTGGTTACTACTATGGCCACGTCGACGGTGTCTGGGGTTTAAAATAATGTTATTTTGGTTGATGGTGAGTGACAGTGGGATTCAAGATGTTCATTTAGTCCTATTTGCGACTCATCAGTTGGGTGTAGTTGCTTACGCAGTGAGTGATGTTGTCCTCATTGAGACTCGAACCCTGTACCTGTTACCAGACCACTCGGTCCCACGAGAGTGACTTCTTGTACAACGGGTATCAGTTCTTACTGTTCATTTTCATTTGTATCCCCTGCTGATTGATTATGTAATTTTTGAGGAAAAAGTGTTCTCAATAAAGCGCATACTTGTATCGCATGCTCATCTTACGGAATTGTATTTGTTCGACGAGATGAGTTGTTAATTTATCTGATGGTTGTCTAAGCTGTTCTATCATCCATACTTCAATGGTAGCATACAACTTCTTATATTCTGTGTTACTAATGTTTTTTGTAAATTTCTTCTGTCATACAAGAATTGTTATCGTACTGTATCTCAGAAATTCAAATCTAGTGTTCACATCTGTTAATCGGTTTGAAACAGTACAACACAAAAGAACAGAAAAGAAATGCATTGAACAAAAATGGTTTGTAGAGAGAAAATTTCAAAAATGTTAATACATCTGTGGCATTATGAGCGGAGTTTTTAACCTAAGTGTTTTTAGTGGGGTGGATTGTTGGTATCACCCTATAGGCTTCAATCAGGTGGCCAACACTTTTTATAACTGTGGCCAGTAATTAAGAACTTCATAGATTGACATCATATCTCAATGTTTTCATCCTTAACTACTGTCCTGTCTGATCTTACCTTACATAACACTACTCATCAAGAAAAGCGGTCGCTCAGTACGAATAACACATATCCTAGCTACGACGATCAGCAGAGAGTCACAGATTAATCGATTGACTTTTCTTGCTTACCCAACATTCTGTACTTTAATGTCAACTTTACTTACAATGTTGCTGCTCATTGGTGATTTGAGTGTGAATCTCAGTGGGATATAAATACCGGTCCTCCGTCTCTAACTGAGGTTACAAAAGCTGTCACTAATCTAAAACGATGTAAAGGAACGAGACCTTACGGAGTCATCCCAGAGATGTTCAAGGACGATGGAAACGCTTTACTGTCTGCGTTAACTAAGGTATTAGGCAGCTTCTAGGAATCAAAGGAAGTCCTATCGGGCTGGTGTAAGTCATTGATTATCCCGGTACACAAGTAGAGAGACAGTTCTTCCTGTGATAACTACAAGGGGATTAGCTTGATCAAAATGGTATTTAAAGTTCTAGACTGAATAGTAGTGCTTAGACTAATCGGCGCTCGAAAAAAAATAAACATGAGAGAAATAGGCAGGCTTTAGACCAGGAAGAGGGTGTATTGATCATATCTCCACCATTTCGGAACATAGGCATACTTACTAGCGTCCATCCAACAATCGTCGTATTTCTGGACCTCGCAACGGCATTCGATTCCGTCGACTGAGAGGTACTATGACAATGTTTGACTGTGAAGGGAATGCCGGGAAATACATCGCACTGATCAAGGCACTCTACTCGAAACCATGCAACCAGGTGAGAGCCTGCAGTGGTGTGAGTCACTGATGCTCAGTGTCTCCATTTCTCTTTAATTTCATCAAAGGTCGTGTGTACTGAGCAGCAGTTCTCTGTTTTCCTTCTCTGTAGTTGTGAAACATGATCATTGAAAGCAGGAGATGAAGAGTTTAGTTGTCTTTGACTACAGATGTTTACGTCTTATCTCCTGTGTTAAGTGGTGCAATATGGTGAGCAGTATTGAGGTTAAGCGTAGAGTGTTAAGTAGGGAGACTAAATCAATCGACGAGGTTGTGAAGCTGCGTCGACTGAGATATGGATACACGTTACGCGTACCGAGCCACCAGCTTCTTCGATAACAGGAAACGTTAGCTGATACGTAGGATCAGATTAGAAAAGAGTTAGTAGGCGTCAAACCCATACTTGAAATCAGTCCTATCGTTTTTCCCCCAGTTAGTCTACCACTAGACTAAACTTTTATCAGTAATCATATTAACGCCTTTTTTGTTATCATTCTGCAGTTTTTCTGAATTTATTCACTTCAAGAATTGTACTTGTTGTATTTCTACTTAACTATGGAATTCAGAACATCCCAATGTGTGTTATCACATGGTGTTTTGTACATGTGACTAGTTTATGGAGGGACACTGATTGATTGATACACAAGCTAACTGTTCCAGTAAGCTGTAGGCAACTTATCCACTTTTTTTCCCATGGTTTTTATCTTGTATAGAATACGATCAAATTAAGAGGGTTATGAATTCTATTCAGTGCTATAAGCACATTTAATAACTAGACTACTATTTTTTGTTGTTGGTGTTATTGTTATTACGTCATATATCTATTCACTATTATTGATTATATTCTTCTTTTCCATTTTTTTGGTTTTTACACACTCACAGATGTATGCCAATCCAGGTTATTATGATAAATTAATTAAAGGTATTCAAGGCTGTAATAATTTTGTAAGTGAAGAGATTGAACGAGATCTGTATCGATCATTCCCAGAGCATCCTGCTTATCATACACCGGAAGGTATTGAATCACTTCGGCGAGTGTTAACAGCCTATGCTTATCGTAATCCTAGTGTAGGTGAGTTATTTGTGTGTGTGTATGCGTGTTCGTGTGCGTGTATGTGCGGGTTTATTGATTCGCATCTTGACTATCGCATTTTTCGTCAATAGTAGTACTTCAGGTTTTCGTCACCTGATTTAAAAAAATAAAAATGTGTGATAAAATATGTATACAAAAGTACACTAGAACTTCAATCTTTCACTGTTTTAGTATTATAAAAGGTTATTTATTTAAATTATTCAAATCAGATCTGATGGAGAGGGTATCATCTATTGTCTTGATTTGATATCCTTTTTCTCGACGTTATTACATTATTATTATTTTCATTATTCCCTTGGGTTCCTAATGAAACATATACGGCTAAAACAGAACATCTCCATTTTGTCCTGTTCTCTGCAGTCTTCATTAGCTGACCCCACAACCGCCCATAAGCTTTCATCTCTTATTCATACAACCTCCTCCATGTCACCCTTGGACTCACGTCCAACTTCGGTTTCCTTTCAAGGCTTTGCCTGGCGCGCGATGTCACCCAACAGTCTCTTCAGAATGTGTTCAGTTCATCTCCATTCCTTTCGGAATATTTGACTGACTCACTGGCTGATTTCAACGTAGGACTTTGCACTGATGTGCAGCAGCTCAAGTCACCACAGTTCACTTAGCACACAAAGCAAGAGAAGAGAGTAAAAAGAGATTCAAAAGAAAAATAATAAACATAAATATGAGGTAAAAAGAGCAATACAGTTTTATTGGATATTATTAAGTCACAAGGGGTGTATGAATCTGCGCCACTGGTAAAGATTTTGAGCCATATCACTAATTGTCTCCAGACGTCATTGGTTCTTACCATCATTCTGAGGACCACAACCAGGAAGTCTACGCCTTCCCACGTGGCTGGCTTAAACTGATTGTTGTAGATTTCATTGACCGATGAAGCCATGTTTTGGTTTGACCATTCACCACTAGCTTTTTTCCAATCGGATTAATCCTATGTCAGCTAACATTGCCCGTTGTCGGGGAAGGTGATGGCTAGGCATGAGTAACACATGTCTTAGCCATCTCAATCGATGTAGCTTCATTGGCTCGTGGATTGATTTCTCCCGCTTACTTAGCACTCAACCGAAGCCTATCCTCAATATTGCGCACCCTATTATACCACTTCACACGGGAGATAGAACGCCTGTGATCAAAGACAGCTCGTCAGTTTTTCATATCCTCCACTTTCAATGACCATGTTCTTACGAAAGAGTTCTAAATGAATACAAGAATTATAAGCAATAAAAGAACAGACAAGCAAACAAAATTAAGTCGTCAAAAATCAACAAAGTTGTTACCATGACAGTTGAAGTGGTTGAGTAATTCTCAAGACATCTGTGAGCTGCTTCTCAATCTGTTGCGTTTTGTTTCTTTCATTGGAAGGTTGGAAAAATTTATTACTCCATTATGGATAAGATTTTATTTTGATGTCTTTGTTGTTTTGTGTGCCTCAGTAGCATACTTATCACTCCCGCCCTGTGACACGGCAGCAGGAAGCGCGGTCGTTGTTAATCCGGGCCACGGCCGATCCGGCATGAAATTTTGTGAATTTGTTTGGATCATGGTATTGGATGAGGTAGCTGCTTTTTGTTTAACCGCTTTCCAAACAACCTGCCTGGCATGGTAGAACCTCAAGAGACATAAGTCTCAGCCAGTATAGCTTGATTAGGTCATTGAGGTGTTCAAGCCCGACCACCACGTCAAGGTAGCAGCTATCGGTCACATAGTGTTCTATAGTAATATTAACTGTTGACGTTTCGAGCACAAACTATTGCTCATAATCATATCAAGTTGAGGTACTGAGGAATAATTGAACACAAATTTTGTCGTTTCGTTGTTTCCATGAGGTTTCATCTGCTTATGGCTGTTGTTGAGCTGGGTTACGGTAGAATGAAACTTTTTCTTTGCAACTAAGTTGATATATTCGGTGAATCTTGGACTCCGGACGAATGTCAAAGATTTCATTAACACCCAGTTTTCTTAACCTATTTTATATTACGTAACTCCAGTTACCAATCTTTACCTGTTCAGTTAAAATAACTATAACCAATTGTATTTTTGTTTGACAAATTTAATATACACATGCATACAAAATAACACAAATATATATTTGCGATTGTACAACTAAGGAAATGAATTCACCGAAAAGAGACTCTTTGCTGAATCACGTGTTTTGTTTTCAGTAAAAAGTTTCCCAAAGGGAATAGAGAAGATGTAGGAGGAGGATGCTTGATTTAATTAGAATTGCATAACTTTGTTTTGTAAGTTTCTTCACTAAGGTAGTAGTGCAAACTTCATCACTGTCTTTTTATGAATATATAGATTCGATTGCAACTGTTTCGATGTCGATTGCCTCAGTAAAACTTAACTTGCTAAGTTTGTTTTAGTTGTCAAATGTTTGGACACCTTCTGATTGTCCACAGGTATTACCAGTGTCCAATAGATGATGCACAGTCACACTGCTTAACGCCTCTGGCCTGTTTATTCTCAAGTTATTTAGCATGCGTTCAAAGATATGGATAGTAATTCTGTTGATATCCTGTGCATCATTGGTTCAGGGGTAGAATACTTGCCAACCACACACATAGTCTGTGGTTCGACCTCCTCCCTCAATGCACTCCTAGACCCGACTTAGCCGGTCGTAAAATCCGTAAAGAAGGATAATTGAGTGTGAGGGCACCAACTCCAACCCGTAAAAATAACACTACTTAAGGCTTAAAGCTCTGTGTTCGCCTCGGGATGCAAAGGAAAGAAAATATCCTGGTATGTATTTCGTTCTTGTCTTAAAAAAAGTTATTCTTGTAATTATTAAATGTGATTAATAACCATATTTTTTTTTTTAATAAGTCAACCTCTTTTTTCTTCTTGTTTTTTTAAAGGCTACTGTCAATCAATGAATATAGTAGCCAGTGTTCTATTACTCTATAGTACAGAAGAACAAGCCTTTTGGTTATTGACAGCAATTTGTGAACGCCTTTTGCCTGATTATTATGATAGTCGTGTAGCTGGTGTACGTGTTGATCAACAAGTATTTCATGACTTGGTTGTTGAATATATCCCAGAATTAAAGTCTATTCTGCATACATCCACACAAGACAGCATGAAGTATGATTCAGGACGGCTGAAAAATACTTCAACAACTCCTGAGCATGGTTATTCTGCGTATTCTTCGCCTTCTTCTACTTTATATGATGGTGGATCATCAGGAACAGGTTTTAGTCCACCGATGATTCGATCTTTAGGTTCAGAACTAATTAGTATGCTACCTTTAAGCTGGTTTTTAACCTTATTTCTCAAGTGAGTATTTGATTAGTGCATATTTTTTGTTAAATTGTGTACTTTGGTTTTTGTTCTATCGTATAGAATAAAGTAGCGTTGTGGGGTGCATTGTCGGTGTTGTTTTGTTAACAAACGTTAATCTTCATTTATGCATAGGTCCTTGTTGATTATACTGATATTTTTTCATCCTTCAACGCATTGTCCTATACTTTTCCCCTAATGTTTTTACATTATGAAAGTTTAGTTTTTGAAATAATACAGAAGTTTTGTAGCTCAGGTGAATGATTTGCAATTAGTAATGTTCTCTGAGCTGGTTGTTTTAGTTGCGGGCGCCCCTTCGAATCAGAATCTAGGAACGCAAATCAGCTGTGAAAAGACATGATATGTATTCTTTCACATCAATGCATATACAGATAATTATGAACATCAGTTTGATTAGGATAATGTGGAAATTTTAGACACAAGAAACACTAAAAGTGCCAGGGAATTCCTAGAAACCTGGTACTCAGACAAATATGCGATTAACAAACATGTTAATATAGACCAAATCTACCAACTAATAAAAAATAAATCATGTGACGAGAAAGTTTAAAATCCGAGTCAATAAAAAAAAAGATCAATAATACATACGTAAAGATGGTTACTGGGCGACGCAATTCTATCACTCATGGATCGGGTCCCAGTGGCTTAATGGTCTACGAGCTCACCTTGTGACCAGAAGTTCCTGGGTTCGAACGCCAACGGGTGCGTACTGATGAAGAGTCCGAAACTAGGACGAAACAGATCCAACACTCCCAGGTTTTCCACTGATTCTCTAACCGTGTCAGCTCATGATGAAATCCTTTAACCAATCGATTAAATCCCTACAAGCCAATACTTGAAATTTAAGTTAGTTGAGCTGAAGATGTTGTCTAGAAGGATGACGAAAGCTCCGCAAGTGAAACAACTAGCCAGAGAACATTACTAACTGTAAAAGTTTAGTTTCATCATTTTTCAATTAGTGATGCATGATTAGGCTTCTAACAAATTCATGTCTCTTGCTGTCTGTTATTTATTTTCAATAGTACTATGCCTTTCAAGTGTGCTGTATACGTGTTGGATTTTTTCTTCTATGGTGGTGCTCGGGTAGGTGATCTCATGATAACTGTGATGTTAAGTATATTTTCATGTATGTTCATGATTCCCCTCTTTTTTAAGTATTCTTGTAAGATGCATATACGTCACAAGAACACTTTTGTCGATTAGTATATGGAATCTGAGTTCTTATATTTGATAGTGTTTAGATCAGCTGAGTTTCTATATAATCTCTTGGACCCAGTTTAGTAGTCAATATTTTCATCTTCCACTGAAGGACATTAACTAGGCAAAGGTTTGAATCTAAGATCTACTGAAAAATGTTTTTCAATATAATTCAGGGTTAAGTAGTAGTTTTCTACCTATAACCCTTTAATTCCAATTGTGTAATGTCAGACTGTATTGATTCGAGCTGATTAAGTGCATGTCGTTTTAAAGTCATTTTACTTTGTGGTATTCTGTTTCTACGTAATGATTCCAATACAGTTTAGGATATCGATTTTTCTGGATACAATCCTTTATAATTCGATACATATTCTTGATTCGGCGAGCCGTACGTTGAACTTCAGGAAGTCATTGAGTTCCTTTAACGCAACAGGATGCTCATGACAGTTATAAGATTTGATGGTGTGGAATATTCCCATATTATGAATTAAAAGTCAATCTGAACGAAGAATATCCTTTTCAATAATTTCTCTTCAGGTTCTTACAATTATGAAATGTAATATTTGAGCTCGAATCAATACAGTCTGACATTACACAATTGGAATTAAATATATCACAAAGGAATTATGCACTTCTGGGCCCTTCCAGTGGATATGAGACTACAATATAACCCTTTACACAAACAACGAATATAACTGCGCGTTAAGATCGGACTCAGTATTGTCTGGTTTCAATGCATATGCATTGCCATTTATATGAGGAGTTCCGAACTACGATAAACCATTCATTCATAGCTTCTTGTTTTTCGAAATGATCCCTCTAACTGCTTTATTTTCTTGTGGAGGTCAACCTGGGATCAATCATATCGTCTACTTTCTGTTTAGTGAAATCTGTAAGACTTTTTCTGATAGTTACTATAATATCGATATGACTGGTAATACTGTAACGACAGGAGACAACGGCCAGGCAGTAGATCGTTTATTGAGAAAATGAAGAGATATTCATAGATTTCTATGTAAATTATTGTCAGTGGAGAAGCAGTCTTCTGATTGGTTGTTTTCTTGCTGTGAAGGTTATTCCGTACTGCTTGTGACCGATTCTCAGAAAGTTAAGCCATTTATCTGCGAATCGTATTTACACACGTTAAGTTTGCTGTGACTGGTTGGTGCATTCCTCAAGATTAAGCTTGTTATTGTTTTTTCTTATGACCCCGATTCGGGACGTAACATTGACGTCAGTTGTTGTCCACAATTTTTGCTTGCAGCCAGCTCTCACCATGATACTATCTAAGATTATTATTAATATTTAAATGCAACTTTCGGTGCATTATGTTCACCAAGAGAGATGCTCCACAAAAAACCTTGTGGTTTGCACGAAGACTAGAATACTGACCGGGACTCTCAGACCGAACCAGGTTGTTAACTCAATGGGCCACCCTTAGTCATTGACTTGAAGTCTCATCCACAAGGCAATGGAGCAGTGTCAGGGGCTAAGTTCCCGTGGTTGTCGATGACAAAAACAGGTTCGGAATCAGATTTCTTCAGCTTATCCACCAGTCCTGTTGTGAGCAGCAGACGTTCACATTCACCGTTCCAGTTCTTTGAGGAACACTTCAGGCGTGGCATGAAGACAATAAATAGGACTCACCATGCAGATGTAGAAGCAATGAAGGTGTGTGGTCACATGACAATATATGAACAGGAAGACCGAATTCTATCCACCCTCAGCTGATCCTGCCTAACAGAGTGTAGGCGGTACGGATCTAACGAATCAAAGAAGAACGTCTGTAACTTTCTATTCACAACGTCGACCATCACAAAAATTACTACGAAAAGAATGCTAACTGCTGACAGTTGAAAGTGTTAAGTTCACTGCTAACTTTGACGAACACTAAATTCACTGACAAGTTTATCAAACAGTTAATAAGAAATATTAAGAAAGACAACGACATCATAAGTTCTTAAAAAGTTTTAGGTTAATGTTAGGCAAATAATAATAGTATATAATGGAGTTGTAGTGCTTCACTTCCATGCAGGGAGTGTCACAGATTCAAACCTCTTCTTCACTACAGAGTTATGGACAGCCAGATAGTATAACCAGCCTTCAAACACACATTAGGTGTATCTAATTGTCAACTGCATGGGGAAGCACAAATGATTGTTGAGTACAATATTTTTTTTCCCGACCGAAAGCTGCTACCTTGACGTGGTGGTCGGGCTTGAACACCGCAATGACCTAATCAAGCTATACTGGCTGAGACTTATGTCTCTTGAGGTCTACCATGCCAGGCAGGTTGTTTGGATAGCGGTTAAACAAAAAGCAGCTACCCAATCCAACATCATGATCCATACAAAACACAAAATTTCATGCCGGATCGGCCGTGGCCCGGATTAACAACGACCGCGCTTCCTGCTGCCGTGTCACAGGGCAGGAGTGATAAATATGCTACTGAGACACACCAAACAAAAAGAACAAACAAAAACAGGCCGCGTGTGACCGGCCTCAAGCAGTTGTCCCCTGGGCTCTGCGGTCACGCAACCAACTTCCACGGTGTGGGCAGCCGGGAAGTAACAATCGCCCTCACAATCCGAAATGCACACGAAACCTCTCTATTACTCACTCATCTTTGTCTTCATCTTCATCTCTATCATCTTGCCTTCCTTCCACTGATGCAACTCCTCGACTTGATAGCTCTCCACTTCCTCTCCACTCTGCGTCCACTAAAAACGATGGAAGCCAAAAAACCACCACCGACAGCCTCTTAAAGCCGCGCCACCAATTTCATATAGGAGCTCTTAATGTTAGGACACTTTGCCAAATAGGACAACAAGCATCACTAGCCAAGACCCTGGCATCACGAGCCATTGATGTATGCTGTGTTTCAGAAACACGCATACAAGACCCAAGTGTGGTTATTCACCTAACCCCACCTGGCCAACAGGTTGAATCTGCAAAATTCACCTTGAGGGTGTCAGGAGATGCCACAGCTAGTTCACGAGGATTAGCTGGCGTAGGGATAGCTTTGAGTACTAGGGCAGAAAAGACATTGCTTGACTGGATCCCGGTAGATAGCCGAATGTGTGCTGTCCGTCTGAACGGATCAGTAAGAAGGAGAAGGACTGCACTACTCGCCGATGCCTTTTCGTAATCTCCGCCTACGCCCCCACTGACTGCAGTTCAGATGAAACGAAGGATGAGTTCTACCAAAAGCTGTCTAGTTTGGTGCGAAAGGCTAAACGCTCAGACATAGTCGTTCTAGCTGGTGACTTTAACGCTCAAGTAGGGAAATTGTGTCAATCTGAGAAGGATGTCGGTGGCACCTATGGAGTTCCGTGCCAGCGAACCGACAACGGTGACCGTCTCCTACAGTTCTGTTCTGATAATCATTTGTTTCTTGTAAGCACTAACTTCAAACACAAGGAGAGACACTGTTTGACTTGGAGACCCCCTTCATCAAACCAACGCTGGACACAAATAGACCACATAGCAATAAGCTATCGTTGGCGTGGGTCGGTAGGAGATTGTCGCTCCTTCTGGAACACGTGCGTAGATACCGACCATGCACTGGTCCGCGCTCGGGTGTGCTTACGACTGAACGGACGTAGGAAACAGCTGGCGGTAAAACCATCACGTCCCCAGCTCGATCAGGAAACTAAATCCGTATTTGAGGAAGAACTAGCTAAACACATATCTGTGTTCGACAGCTGTGCTCACCCTGAAGAAGCTTGGAAAAATATCCAGGCAGCCATAGATACAGCTGTAAAAGCTGTGAATAAGGTAAACCCAAAGGTGAGTAAAAACCACTGGATCTCCACCGCCTCATCCGAACTGATAGATGCTAGAAGACTTATTCCGGCGAGCTCCGAATTCAATGAGGAGCGAAAGCTGCACAAGAGGAAACTTACGAAAAGTCTCCGCGAAAAAGATGGAGAAAGCTTCGAGGATAGGCAACACCAGGCAACTCTTTAGACTCATCAGGGAAACGGGTGGGAGAAGACAAATCATTAGTGAGACAATCTCGGAAAAAAATGGCACTATAATTAGCTTCCAGGATAGACGACTGGATCGTTGGAAAGAGCATTATGAGGAGCAGTTTAATTGGCCCACAGCCACGCTCAACCTTCCGAGCATCCAACACCTCCCTGAATGGGATATAGACACAGGTCCTCCGTCCCTAACTGAGGTTACTAAAGCTGTCACCAATCTGAAACTAGGCAAAGCAGCGGGACCTGATGGAATGACTCCAGAGGTATTTAAGTACGGTGGAGACAGCTTACTGTCTGCATTAACTGAGGTACTAGGCAGCGTCTGGGAATCAGAAGAAGTCCCATCGGGTTGGTGTAAGTCACTGATTATCCCCATATACAAGAAGGGAGACAAGTCTTCCTGTGATAATCACAGAGGGATTAGCTTGACTAATATAGTATCTAAAGTCTTAGGCTCAATAATCATGCGTAGACTGAGTGGTGCTCGGGAAGCACAAACACGAGAGAGCCAGGCAGGCTTTAGACCAGGAAGAGGGTGTATTGATCATATCTTCACCCTCCGACAGATTCTAGAACATAGGCATTCCTACCGGCGTCCAACAGTCATTATATTTCTTGACCTAAAGGCAGCATTCGACTCTGTCGATCGGGAAGTTCTCTGGAGATGCTTGGCTGTAAAGGGAATTCCGAGAAAATATATTGCACTGATTAAGGCACTCTACTCGTACTCATACAGCCAGGTGAGGGCTTACGGCGAGCTGTCATCTGAACTGATGACGACCAGTGGTGTCCGTCAAGGATGCCCATTATCTCCTTTTCTATTCAACTTCATCATAGATGTGTTAATGGACTTAACCCTAGGTGACTTCAGCGACTCAGGGATTGACTTGCTACCGGGGAATAATCTCGTTGACTTGGAATATGCAGACGATATAGTCCTTCTAGGCGAAGACGCTGACGAAATGCAGAGTCTTCTAAACACCTTGAGCCGCAATCTACGAATGTTTGGCATGCGATTCGCTCCCGCCAAATGCAAGATGATGTTACAGGACTGGACTACATCGACGCCTAGTTTAAAAATAGGAAGTGAAGTGGTAGAGCACGTTGACCGCTTCACTTATTTGGGAAGTACCATCAGCCAACGCCAACGGGTTGATCTCTGACGAAATCTCAGCACGAATACAGGGGGCTCGTTTCGCATTTGCCAGTTTACGCCGACTCTGGCGTAGACGAGATGTTCGACTATCGACCAAAGGGCGGGTGTACTGCTCATCAGTCCGCTCCGTCCTCCTTTATGGCTGTGAGACCTGGCCACTGAGAGTGGAAGACATGAAAAGACTAGCTGTCTTTGATCATAGGTGCCTGCGTTCTATTTCCCGTGTAAAGTGGCATAATAAGGTGAGCAATATTGAGGTTAGGCGTCGTCAGTTCTAGGTAAGCAGGGGAAATCAATCGACGAAGTTGTGAAGTTACATCGACTGAGATGGTTAGGACATGTGTTACGCATGCCTAGCCTAGTCATCGCCTTCCTCGACGAGCAATGTTAGCTGATATAGGGTCAGGCTGGAAAAGAACTAGTGGCGGTCAAACCAAAACATGGCACCAGTCAATGAAATCGACAGCAGTCAGTCTAAGCCAGTCACGTAGGAAGGTTTAGACTTCCAGGTTGGTGTCCTCTGTAAAAACCAATGAAGGCTGGAAACAATTAGTGATATGGCTCAAAATCGTTCTCAATGGCTGGCGCAGATGCATACACTCCTTGTGACTTATGATTTCAGATGAAACTGTTTTGTTCTTCGTTATTACTGTTGCTATGTTCCACGCCTCTGTGTGCTGTCTCTATTATGCATTTCTTGTCCTCTCTTCTCTTGCTTTGTGTGCTACAAGGAGGGAGTGTTGTGACGTGAACTGGTGCACATATGTGCAAAGTTCTATTTCGAAATCAGACAGAGAGACAGACAATATTTTTTATTTTTGAGAGTACATTTAGTAGTGGTAGTGTAACAATAGGAGCCAAGAGTCAGGCAACAGATCATCTCTATGCTAACTTTATCCGCCTACGCAAAGTCTGTGTTCTCACTTTTCTCTCGAACCAATATTGGGGACATAAACATTGACGTAAATTACTGTCCACCAGTTTTGGCTAGAAGCCAGCTCTCATCACACTCGTCCCTCCGTCAAAGACTTGCAACTGAAGTTTGTTCAGTTTTCTTGGTTGTAGTGTCTTCGCTCGTTTGTGTTGCTGTTTGGAATCTCGGTACTCGCTGGTGTTCATCTGTTTCTCTTCGTTTAATATTGCGATTGTGTCTGCGTAACTCCATCTCAACGTGACCATATGTGGTGCTTCCCACTTTGGAAACTGTTTGGCTGACCCTGTCGCATATTCGTTGGTATTTCGCCTAGCAATTCCATATGCTGCTTTCTCCTGACCTCCCAGGAGCGTCCCAAGTAGCAGCCTCATCAGTGACAGATCTTGAACGCCACTTAACTGCGCAGAAAGCTCGAAGTCCTGCCCGAAAATCCATATGTCTTCATCAAAAACTGCAGGCCATAGACTTTCCATTTGTCGGTAGGCAGCGACACCAACTATAAAAACAGAAAGCAAGAGTCAGGTAACAGATCATCTATATCTTAACTGTATCCGCCTACGCAAGGCCTTTGTTCTCATTTTTCTCACGAACAATACTGGGGACATAAACATCGACGTAAATTACTGTCCACCAATTTCGACCAATAGCCAGCTCTCACCACAGTAGTAGTAGTATATAACAGATACCTTTTCTTTTTTTCCACTTTTATAGGCCATTTTTCAAATTGCCTTAGAAGTCCTACGTCAGCATACATCAATTATAATGAAAGCTGTTGGAAGTGATGATGACAGTTGTGTATTAACTCATCTCACTACTTATTTTGAACAATTACGTCATCAAGATAATACAAATGAAAAGAATCCACCTACAACAACAACATCATCATCCACATCTTCATTAAATATTACCGATAAAAATGATCAAAATAATAATCATAATAATAAACAAAAATATCCAACAACACCAACAAAAAATTCGTCGAATCCTACTCTCGTGTCATTATATGAACCTATACATAAATTGTTAGCATCAGCTGATCGAAATTTCAACATATCTAATGAATTAATTGATAGAATGCGTCTGCAATGTCGACCTAAAGTAATTCAATCACTTAGTGATTATACATCAAAAGAAGTTATGCGTAGTATGGAACGTGAACTTCCAGGAGATTTAATACCATTGTTTGAGTGTTACAGAGTATGTTGCTTTGAAAAATGTTTTGTTTTTATATTTCTTTAGTCTTTAGTATGTCTTTTCTGTTGTTTTTGTTGTTGATGAAACAAAACACTTAGTTCAGCGAAAAGTCTCTCTTCGGCGAATTCATTTTCTTAGCTATACAGTCGCAAATATATACATGGGTTATTTTGTATGTATGTGTATATTAAGTTGGTCAAACAAAATTACAATTGGTTATGGTTATTTTAACTAAACAGGTGAAGATTGGTAATGCAAAATCAGTCAAGAAAATTAGGTTTTAATGAAATTAGGGTAGTAACAAAGGTGATGAGTTGTCACAAACAGTTGTTAAAAAAGAAGTTATGTAATAAAATGAATAGTTTGATGAGTGAGTTTACTCAGGGTGCACATAGGAACAAAGTAGAGAATACGAAACTACGTAAGAGTTCCAAATGAATACAAGAATTATAAGCAATAAAAGAACAGGTAAAGAAACAAAATTAAGTCATCAAAATAAAAAATGAAAAACTCAAATTAAAAAAAGTTGTTACCACGACAGTAGAAGTGGTTGAGTAATCTTCTTTTGTATGCACAGCTCCCGTTTTTCTATGTGAATGGCAAGAACTTCAGCGTTACAAGGAAGACGAAACCGTATTGCCTTTGGTAGGTTATTCTTGACTCTGTAGATAACTTTGAAGGAGGCATTTGCTGAGATGGAATGGTAGGTTTTAACTAGGTGTTCACTTGTCGCACTCTTTATTGCACCACTACTGCATTTTCGCAACCATGCTGGATAGTGTTCTTACGCGTCGAACGACCGATGTACTTGGCTCCACATCAGCAGGTGAACTGATCTATGCACATAGAAGTGGTCACATGCGGGATCTTGTCCTTGAGACTTCTGCAGATCACTGGGCGACTGGAGAACACTATTCTCCGTGTTGCTGCAAAGAATGTTCTTCTCAGAGATGATGTGACCATTCTCTCGAGAACATCGCTTGCTAAATCTCCCTTGAAATCCAAGTTCATGTATAGTTTCTTTTTTTTACTTCCGGGCTGGGGTCCTCGGGACGGTAAAAATCTATGGTTGGAAACAATTGGTGACATGGCTCAAAATCGTTCTCAGTGGCGCAGATGCATCCACTCCTTGTGACCTATGATCTCCAATGAAACTGTTTTGTATTTCTTTATTACTCCTTTGTCTCACACCTCTGCTCACTGTTTCTATTATGCTTTTTTTGTACTTTCTTCTGCTTCGCGTGCTACACGGAATGTGGCGACTTGAACTTCCGCACATTTGTGCAAAGTTCTATGTCGAAAACAGACATAGTTTCTTTTTAGGCTCAAGTGAAGTTTCATTTCTACAAATTCTTGGTTTGATATTTTTATCAATGAGTCTTGGTGGGTATCCATTTTGGATGAAGATTTCTCTTAAAATATCTAATTCTGTTACCAGAACGTCGGGACTACAGATGCGTCGGATGCGGGTGGCCAGTGATTTAATTAAATTCCGATTTTGTTGAATGGGTAGGCAGCTATAGAAACTTGTTAGTTGACCATTCCACGTAGGTTTTCTATGGACTGATCTTCTTAGTCTCCCATCCGTTCTCCTTGTTAGTTCCACATCAAGAAACGGAATTTTTGACTCGTTTTCCATTTCAAGAATGAATTTTATCGCTGGATTTGATTTGATTTTTCTATTTTGATGACTTAATTTTGTTTCTTTACCTGTTCTTTAATTGCTTATAATTCTTGTATTCATTTGGAACTCTTACATAGTTTCATATTCTCTACTTTGTTCCTATGTGCACCCTGAGTAAACTCACTCATCAAACTATTCATGTTATTACATAACTTCTTTTAACAACTGTTTGTGACAACTCATCACCTTTGTTACTACCCTAATTTCATTAACACCTAATTTTCTTGACTGACTTGTATTACCAATCTTCACCTGTTTAGTTAAAATAACCATAACCAATTGTAATTTTGTTTGACCAACTTAATGTACACATACATAAAAAATAACCCATGTATATATTTGCGACTGTATAGCTAAGAAAATGAATTCGCTGAAATGATACTCTTCACTGATCTACGTGTTTTTTTGTTGTTTATGATAAAACCTCAAAAATAAGGAAAAGTTATTGTTATTTTGGTTGGTGATGACTAGCAGCAGAGTTCAGAGTGCTCATTTCGTCCTGTTTGGGACTCGTCAACTAGTGGGTGCATTTGCATTCCCAGTGAGGGGCTGAGTGATTGATGTTCTTACCAATAGTTTCAAATGCCAAAACACTATCTAATTAAGCCATGGGAGTCACTTTTTGTGCATAAGTTTTTGGAAACCGATCTGATGATCTTGATCTCTGATGATATGTCGGCTTCTAGTGTAACGAGAGAAGACAAAAACAAGGCAACAGATCGTTTATTGAGAAAATCAACAGATATTTATAGATTTTTATGTACATTATTATTAGCGTTATTGTTAACAGAGAGGTAACGTCTTCTGATTGGTTGTTTTTCTGCTGAAGGTGATTTTTTCATGTCTTTGTTACCGTCTCTTAGACAGTTGTTGATATATATCTGCTAATCGTATCCGCCCACATTAAGTGCGCTGTGCTTGGTTGTTGAGTTAGTCTTTGTTCTGGTTCCTTTCTCATAGGACGTAAACATTGACGTAAATTGCTGTCTACTAATTTTAGCTTGCAGACAGCTCTCATCACACTAGTAGGATCGCTTCAAATTTAATTCCTAGATATCCATGAAGAGTCCGTATCAGGAGCTGACGTGTTAATGGAGACCAAGCATTTCTATCTAACATAATTACTCAACGGGGAATGTCAGGTTCACGTATTAACAAAGAAATTAATGGTGTGTAATTATTTCTTCTGCAACCCAAATAATTTTATAGACCAATTTAATATAGTTAAGGTGTTGATCAGAGTTGAAAGGAAAACGTGGATGGCAGTAAGGTTAGAAGTCTTAACAATCTTCTAACTGTCAGTCTGTCATTCTGGACTACGAAACCCCAATCACTGACTAAATCCTAATGTAGTTTCAGCTACCAACACTTTCAAATTGTTGGTTCGTAGGAATCTAATCAATTTCAGTGTAGACTTTATCACAGACTACTCTTATTGAAAATCAAAGAGCACTGAACAGGTTTTTTGTTTTAGTTTGGGATTTCGAACCTATAATCCTACGAGGGATGAAACTGATCACAGCTCGAAACATTTGACCATTTATCTACTTGGTTAGAGTCAATTGAACTGTGAATTCTAATGTCTATGAGTGAGCTTGTGACATAGCGTCCGCTCCACGTCAAATACCGTGGTTCCCTCTGGCGCCACAAATTCTTATGGCAACTTCAGGTTATCTATTCATCCAAACCGGAAATTTGAATATTAATCTTACGCTTATAATTGTCTCCGAAATTAATATTCTGAAGAATTTTAAATTTCACATATTGAGTCACTCTTCTTACTCTATACTCAGAAACCTAAGAAGAGGGTCCTGTTATACTTATACATATTCCGTTTTAGATTAGTCTTGTCACACGTACATTTATTATTACATTGGCCATTATTTTTGAAGTAGGTTGGTGTCAATGTCACTGATCGATTGAGTTTCAATGTAAAACTTCACAGAAATGCAACAGTTTAAGTTGTCAAGTTCCATGTAACATACAGAGGTAGAGAAAACAGCACCAAAAGATATTCTAAAGAACCCTAGTGAGAAGAAATATCCGGGAGAATGAATACTAACGTGTAAAACACCATGGTTTAATGGATATAGGAGATGATAGACATTGAATGCATCCGCTCAATTGGGAGCGATCTTGAGCTGTATCACTGATGGTCTCCAGCCATTGGATTTTAAGCATCCTAGAGACTCTAACCAGGCGGTCTCCACTTACCTCCCCACGTAGATAAGACTGATTGTCAAAGACTTCAAGAATTGATTCGACCGCCGCTAACTCTTCTTCAACCTGATCTGATATCAGAAAATATTACTTGATGAGGGAGGCGATGGCTCAGCATGCGTAACACACATCCTAGCCATCTCGATCGACGTGTCTCGATCAAGTTCCCTTCCTTACCTAAAACTCGACGCTTAACCTCAATATTCCTCACCATATTATACTATTTAACATGGGATATGAGGCGCAAACATCTCTGGTCAAAGACAGATGGCCTTTCCATTTCTTTCACTTTAACAATGGCTATGTCTCACTTCTATAAAGAAGGACAAAGCGAACTACAAACGTCTTTTTGATAGATATCGAGATATCACTTCTGCGCTAGAGATGGCAAATGCCGCACCAGCCTTTTGCATTCATGCTGAGATTTTCATTATCAGTTAGTCAATTAGGGCTGAATTGATCAACACACTCAATCACTTCACTCCCTTTTTTGTTTTAAAGCTAATGGTCACTGTCTCTGCGTGACACTAATTTCATATGTCTTATATGACAAAGTTGTTATCTAAACTTTACGTATATAAAACAACCTAAGTGGCAAAAAGTAAAACTCAACGTGTGTGTGTGTGTGTGAAACATAGAGAGAGAGAGAGGGAGAGAAGGAGAGAAATCATTAGGAATCGACTTTCAAACATTTCGCATACTTTGTAAGAAATTTTATTATTATTATTATTAAGGCTAAGGAGTAGGTAGTTGTTAAGCGGAGCAAGCATATTTGTTCTATTGTATGTATATTTACTTTTCATCTTATGATAATTAATTTGATTAAATATAAGCTGCTGTATCACATGCTAAATGCTGTAGAGAAATTTTTTTTAAATGAAAAAGTAAGATAATATAGTTTCACTCATGATATGTACCTACTGGCTTAATATAATCAATATTCACTGTTATTTGTATATGTATAACATACAGGCTTAATTAAAAATGAATATTTAATAGGTTTGTTTCACTGTCAAATGTATAATGTTGAGACAAATAACGTTACTATTATTATTGTTTTTATAGTAATTACTATTTGTTCCCTTGGTTTCCGGGTGGAACATAAGGCTTCAACTGTACACCTCTATTTCACTCTGTTTTTTTGCAATCCTTTTTATCTGGTTCTACAATTGCTTTCATTTCACCTTCACACGATCTCCTACTCTAGGTCACCTTCGAACCCACACCCAACTCGTTTCGTTTCCCCTTCTCAGGGCCTACTCTATGACCTAGCGCGTGATATCACTCGATGGTCACTTCAGTGTGTGTATACATTCAATCCATCTTTATTTCTTTCTGCATATTTAAAACAATTAGTCCCTTTGATAAATATGAATAAGGCATTAAGAAGACGAATTTCGCGAGATGATGGCACCATTTCGTAGTATCTTTACAACCGCTTCACAACCAACATGGTCAACAACAATAAAATAAAGATCGTGACAATTAATCAGTTACATAAAACAAAAGTACTTCCTAATGACCAATCATATTTGAATAGGTCAAGTAGTCCATGGTAGGCGAAGATTGAAGTCTATTGTTGTTTTTTGTACACACAGTTTAGGCTGTATGTGATTAATCCAAAGTGCTTCCATCACCTTCAATAACCAACCTTGAATTAGAGTTATGTGATGAAATAATTGTGAAACAGTCATTAATACTGATTTTGTGACCTGATATTTATAAGTGTTTTGCAATGGATGATGCTGGATTTCTATTCAGATTAATCGCGTTGGGATTTTCGATATGATTTAGTAGCCATTTTGGAATATGTTCTTTTCGACCACGACATTGGAACATTCTGTTGGTTCTACCGCAGCTGCAGGTGAACTTGTAGATACAGTTTGAAGTAAAGCCCACAGAATTTCGTCCTTTAATCGTAGTACAGGGATCTGTCTGTCTGTCTGTTTTCGACATAGAACTTTGCACAAATGTGCGGAAGTTCAAGTCGCCACATTCCGTGTAGCACGCGAAGCAAGAGAAGAAAGTACAAGAAAAGCATAATAGAAACAGTGAGTAGAGGTGTGAGACAAAGGAGTAATAACGAAGAACAAGACAGTTTCATTGGAGATCATATGTCACAAGGAGTGGATGCATCTGCGCCACTGAGAACGGTTTTGAGCCATGTCACCAATTGTTTCCAACCATAGATTTTTACCGTCCTGAGGACCCCAGCCTGGAAGTCTACACCTTTCTACGTGGCTTAGACCAACTGTTGTGGATTTCATTGACTGGTGAGGCCAAGTTTTTGTTTGACCGCCGCTAGCTTTTTTCCAGCCTGACCCTATATCCGCTAACATTGCTCGTCGAGGGAGGCGATGGCTTGGCATACGTAACACATGTCCTAACCATCTCAGTCTTTGTAGCTTCAGGACTTCGTCGATTGATTTCCCCTGTTTACCTAGAACTCTACGCCTAACCTCAATGTTGCTCACCTTATTATGCCACTTTACACGGGAAATAGAGCGCAGGCACCTATGATCAAAGACAGCTAGTCTTTTCATGTCTTTCACTCTGAGTGGCCAGGTCTCACAACCATAAAGGAGGATGGAGCGGACTGATGAGCAGTACACCCGCCCTTTGGTCGATATTCGGATATCTCGTCTACGCCAGAGTCGGCGTAAACTAACAAGTGCGAAACGAGCCCTTGTATTCGTGCTGAGATTTCGTCAGAGATCAGCCCGTTGGGGCTGATGGTACTTCCCAAATAAGTGAAGCGGTCAACGTGCTCTACCACTTCACTTCCTATTTTTAAACTAGGCGTCGATGTAGTCCAGTCCTGTAACATCATCTTGCATTTGGCGGGAGCGAATCGCATGCCAAACATTCGTAGATTGCTGCTCAAGGTGTTCAGAAGACTCTGCATTTCGTCAGCGTCTTCGCCTAGAAGGACTATATCGTCTGCATATTCCAAGTCAACGAGAATATTCCCGGTAGCAAGTCAATCCCTGAGTCGCTGAAGTCACTTAGGGTTAAGTTCATTAGTACATCTATGATGAAGTTGAATAGAAAAGGGGATAATGGGCATCCTTGACGGACACCACTAGTCGTCCCCAGTTCAGATGACAACTCGCCGTAAGCCCTCACCTGACTGTATGAGTACGAGTAGAGTGCCTTAATCAGTGAAATGTATTTTCTCGTCATTCCCTTTGCAGCCAAGCATCTCCAGAGAACCTCTCGGTCGACAGAGTCGAATTCCGCCCTTAGGTCAAGAAATATAATGATTGTTGGACGCCGGTAGGAATGTCTACGTTCTAGAATCTGTCGGAGGGTGAAGATATGACCAATACACCCTCTTCCTGGTCTAAAGCCTACCTGGCTCTCTCGTGTTTGTGCCTCCGGAGTACCACTTAGTCTACGCATGATTATTGAGCCTAGGGCTTTAGATACTATATTAGTCAAGCTAATCCCTCTGTGATTATCACAGGATGACTTTTCTCCTTTCTTGTATATGGGGATAATCAGTGACTTACACCAACCCGATGGGACTTCCTCTGATTCCCAGACGCTGCCTAGAACCTCAGTTAATGCAGACAGTAAACTGTCTACACCGTACTTAAATACCTCTGGAGTCATTCCATCAGGTCCCGCTGCTTTGCCTAGTTTCAGATTGGTGACAGCTTTAGGTACAGGGATCGAAAATGTTCGGCAGGTGAGAAAAAGAGATGCGGCGTAGAATGTGCGTTTGATGGCTGACAGAAGTCTTTGAGTTAGCTGTCAACTGCATAATCTGGTTGCCGTTGAATTGCAGGTTAATAAAGAAAGCTTCTTTTGGTGCAGAAGCTGTCTGTTCGAGATGTGGTCTTTCTTTACTGTGACAAGTGATACAGTTTTCCGGATAACCATTAGCTAATAAAACAATGTATATGTCGAAACTCATTTATCAGTGTGTCACTCATGCATACTTTTCGGACCCTTGGGAACAAAATTTTCACTAGGGAACGTTTATACTGGATAGGAACAAAACTGGTAAAATGAAGATATTGTCCACTCCATGTCTGTTTACGAAAAATAGATCTCTGAATCGTTCCATCATCTCTCCTGGTCATTGTAATTTCCAGGAAACCGAGTTTCTTATGCGATTCTAGTTCGGAAGTCACTCGGATATTTGGATGAATATTATTAAATAGGGTAATAAAGTTTTCAATAGATTTATTATCATTACCAATAATGAGAGTATCATATACATAACGTTTATACAGTATAAATTCTCCAAGCCTACCTTGCATTGGTAAAGAAACTACGAAATGATATCTGGCGAAATTTGTCTTCTTAATGCCTTATTCTGCATATTTGTTTGTCGATAGATTCTTGGTTAATTCGTTGCCTGACGGAATTCCTTGTCTGGTCATCTTTTCTCTACACTATCAAGAAAGACACTGAGGACAACTGTTGATGATGAAAGTCTACAGTAGCTTGTCGGAATTGGTTTTCTTGAAGTGTTGAACATCCTGGCCTTGTTCCTTATACTGTGTAATGTAGTTAGTAGATTTCGACATTGATTCCAGAGTAGTGAAGATCTATCTTGCTTTGCGTTTCTTGACTGTCTTCGACATCCTCATCGGTTCAGTTGCCTGTAATTGTTAGCACGATGTTGCCCAGATAAGTGAAAGTGCTGACTTCCTTTGTATTTGTCTTGTTAAGGGGGGTTGCCTATCAGTTATTAAAAAATGATGATGAAAATGATCGGTTATCGATTATTAGTAAATTCTTTCACCGAGTTAGGTCTCGTAAGAATCGAAAGGATGAATTATTAATATTATTTCACTTTGTTCTATTTTCTGCTGTCCTCTTCAGCTGGGTTGACGAATACCCATAATCTCTCACCTCCTTGCACAATCTCCTCCATGTCATCCCCGCAATGACTAGCTTCACATTGGGATTCCAATAGAATGATAGCCTGCATTGCGCGTGATGTCATTCATAGGCCTCCTCAACGTATACTCTCTCGATTTCCATTTTCTCCTGCATAATTGTTGAGCAATCAGCTCTTGGTGTGTTTGTTCCCATCTAGCCAGTGTTTCGTGTTGCTAATTCTTTCTGGCTGGCTGGCTTGTCGGCCATTTGATCTTCAGTATAAAGCCAGCCAGTCAGCTGAGCGGGGGTAGCTGTTGTTAAAAGTCTGAAGCAGCCTGTTGGAAAGATCATTTTAGTGACTCCCCAAGGATGAATAAGTTAGGACACGTTAAAAAATCGTATATACACAGAGGATCGTTACACTACATTGCTTTAAGAACGCAAATAAGACTAACGCCTTTTTCCCTTCCTTTGTGAACCACTCTGAAAGAGGATTTTGTTTATTTTGAATGGCCAGTGTCGACATTGTGTTCGAATATTACGCTGCTTATAAAAGCGCTTTAACTTGTTGACCAACCGACACACTTGACCCCCATAGAAGCGAGTGAAGTGATGTAGTACGCAGAAGTGGTCAAAAACTCTCGATCTTTCTTTTTTTATACTTCTGCAGATCCTTGGGCACTTGAAGGAAATTACTCTTAACTCGTTTGTAAAGAATGTTCTCAAAATTTGTTGAAATTCTTTTTGAAAGATATCATGAGTTAAGTCACCCTTGAAGTTAATGTTCATGTGAAGCTTCTTGCTGCTTGGCTCGAAATAGGCGAATTTTAAGTTTCATGTTTTTGTCAAGAAAAGTTTGGTGGACGATTCCTCTCAGAATTAATTTACGTATCACATTAGTCATTCTTAATATTTTTCCAACAATTTCTGTGTTTTGTTTTGTCTTTCATAGGATCATTATATTCTTTCCAGATATGAAAGAATGCATCAAACAGCACCAGCAATTACTCATAATGATACAAATAATCCTAATCGTCCAGCGTATGATGTTCATCGTATTGATGCACATCAATTTAGCAGTTTATTTCGTGGATTAGTTCCATGGGGTACTGTTGCATCACATTTATGCTTTCCATGTTTTCGTTTACTCGATGAAGATGAAGATAATTTAATTAATTTTAAGGTAAGTGGAATAGTGTATTTTGGAGTATTTAAAAAAGTAGACTGACATATGTTTTCCATTCCTTTGTGTTCACAGACGAATATGTGCGTCGGGTGCACAGCAGTTAGGACGTTCGCAGACCATGCACATGGTCAGGAATTCGATCCCCAGCCGACGCACACCTGATATCAATAGTCGTCCTGCTAAATTTGGGCTGCCGATATCACATGCTGAAAATTCCATACTTGTGTGGAATCAATCTACAATAAAAAAGCTCCTTAAGCTTTTGAAGTTTTAGTAGCGCTTGTGTTGTTTTTACAACCTGGGGTCGCTAGCCTCATTCCCAACCTTCTGCCTCTACTGGGGCTTACTGCCAATTAAGTGATGTCTGCGAGTGTGTTCGTCGGGAATCCAACCATGGACCTTTTGTGGGGCTGGTGGTCATTCTACTCCTGAACCACTGACGGATAAAAAGTAAAGTCTTACGGTAGCATGGATTGCGACGCTTCAGCGAGGATTAAGCCTCTAAGAAGAAAGCTAGCACCTAACAAATTAAACAAAATCATTTTTGGTTACAGGATTTCATCATGATCTGATATCGGTTAGAGAACCATTGGAAAACCAGCAGAGAGTACTGGATAGCTGTTTCACCTTGGTTTAGGACTCTTCGACAACAAACATCCACTGAGGTTTGAACCCAGGACCTTAAAGTTACCTGGTGAGCCTGTAGACCATTCAGCCACTGGAACGTGATCCAATGGCCCGTGAATTCTAACTTGTGCCAACTCAGGATATATCGCGACCACTAGCCAATGTTGTCGGCAAGCAACTCTCCTCACTATCGACCTGCTGTATCCCACTGGTTACGACTTTCCACTGCGGCCGAGGTAACTATCTCCCTGAATAGGTCCAGTAGCCGCTAGTGAGCATCAGACTGATATTGAAGCGTTGGTTCGCAGGGATTTGATTTGATCAATTATGAGATTTCATCATGAGCTGAGAGAACCATTGGAAAACTGGGAGTACTGGGTATCTATTTCGTCTCTGTTCGGGACTCTTCGTCAGTACGCTAACTAATTTAGCATATGAAATGCTTCAATATATCTACCGCGACTATTGGAAACAATCCACAATCATACTAGTGAGCTTTATGTTAGGGTATGACTTTCGCTTCTAGGCATTACTACAGCTTATGCTACATAACTTGTCGTAATTATAACAATAAGTTACATAGGTAGTAAGCAAGGCAATCTAGCTTGAAGCTTGATGAGTCGAACAAGCTTAAAATTTATACCATCTCAACTGATTATTTAATCTGCGCGGATTGATTAACAATGAAACAAAGAATTCCCTTCATAGTTGTCTTGGTCAAGAGAACATGTTCAAGAAATCTAGTGGTACAAGTATTTTATTCCTGCTTATATCTTAAATTCATTCAATTCGTTGAATTCTGTCTGTCTGTTTTCAACATAGAACTTTGCACAAATGTGCGACAGTTCAAGTCGCCACACTCCACTTCATGTAGCACACAAAGCAAGAGAAGAAAGTACAAGAAATGCATAATAAAGACAGTAAACAGAGGTGTGAGACAAAGGAATAGTAATAACAAAAAACAATATAGTTTCATTGGGAATCATAACTCACAAGGAGTGGATACATCTGCACCAGCCAGCCATTGAGAACGATTTTGAGCCATATCACCAATTGTTTCCAGCCATTGGTTTTTACCGTCATCCAGAGGACCTCAACCAGTCAGGAAACCAGTCTATACCTTCCTACGTGACTGGCTTAGACTGACTGTTGTAGATTTCATTGACTGATGAGGCCATGTTTTGGTTTGACCGCTGCTAGCTCTTTTCCAGCTTGTGTCTATATCAGCTAACATTGCCCATCAGTCGAAGAAGGCGATGACTAGGCATTCGTTGAATTAGTTGTATTCTCTGAGCTGGTTGATTTAGTTGCTAAGCTTCCTTCGTCTCAGTCAAACCAATCAGCAGCTTAGAGAGAACACAACTAAGTTAATATTATCTACATGAGCTACAAATGATCTCCATTATTTCATTAAATTTGTGTTTAATATCATTGTAATTCACTTTTCTTTTTTCGCCTTCATTTTTATTACAGAGTTTTGTCTGGTTAATGCGATGTATCTGTGGTCATGATATAAACACAAAACTACGCCTATTATTCTTATTACATCGTCCACCATACTGGCTACAATCTGATAATAAATTAAATGATTGTAAATGGAATTTCATTCTATCAACACCATCATTTTCACCTAGTCATAATATTATTCCATCAATTGAACAAAATGATGAAAAGGATAGTGTCAATTCGCATTCATGTGATACAAGTACCACGAGTAGTTATCAAATCTATTCAAAGTCGGATTTTGATACAGTTGAAATTGGGACAGATTTAATTGCTGAAGAATATGATCAACAACAGTCAGTAGAGAATCAAAATGAAAGTAGTGCTAGTAGTAGTGGTAGTGGTGTTAGTTACAGTAATACAATTTCTAAAGAAAATAATTCCTCTGAACCTCTAACATCTTCATGTAAGCCAGAAAAAGCAAATGAAATTCAATTGACAATTGCTGATCCACTAGGATTTATTAGTAATAAATATAGTTCAAGAGATTTAAGTGAACATTTATCACTGAATTATAGTCAATTTCAATGCTTAATTGAGGTGAGTTGTACTCATGTAGTTATTCTTCAGTGTATTTTCATCTTTTCAAGAGTTAAGTTTGTTTGGAGTCTGATTTGTTTTAAGTTTAATCGTGGATTGAAATCAGTTGGAGGATCACTAAAAACCAGCTAGGAGTACTAAACAGCTGTTTCGTCCCAATGTGGGACTCTTCGACAGTAAACACCCACCACCAGCAGGTTTCGAACCTAAGACTTTCCGGTTACAACGAAAGCTCGTATACCATCGAGCCACTGGGATCCAAGTCAATGGTCTATAGATTCCAACTTCTACCAAATCGTGATTTTAGTACGACCACTAACGAATGTTATCGACGAGTATTTATCATCACTCCCGACCAGACAGATCGCATTGGTTATTACTTCTCACTAGAAGAGCTCCAGGCAACTTCTCCCTGTAGCCAGTCACTAACGAGCATCTTGTTGGAATAAATACCAATCACTTGTTAAGTTTATCACAAGTGTATATGTTAGTATTGTAAGAGTTGCTCTTCTCCGGTGCCAGTGTGTGTGATATGGAAGTTGTTTTTTTTAACGTTAAGCTCTTGTGTGAAAGTTAAGGAGATTGGTTTATTTCATAGCGAATAATGAGAATTAAATGGATCTATTCCACTGAGAATGATTTTGGAACATATCATCACCAGTCTTACGTAAATAGCTCTTAGCATCTTCGAGGCACCAGGTAGATAGTCTAAATCTGCCTTCGTAGCTCAAACCAACTGCCAACGATTTCATGGATTGGTGTTGTGTTTACTATTGACCATTCCTAACTCTTTTCCAACCTTATGCCATGTCAGCTAACGTTGCTATGCTAGTAAGGCAATGGTTTAACATTGTTTAGCACGTGTCTTAGCAATCCTAATCGGTGCGGTTGGCGATAAGCTAATCGGTTCACTGGTTTTAACATTTGATTCCCGGAGAAAAGGTCGACCTCAGTCAACGGACCACTATAATAAGTGTGATTCATTGTCTATTAAATGTTAAATCTTCGCCATGCTAATGGAGTTCGTTTGAATTTATTTAAATCACTGTCAGAATAGTATGTTCACTGATTGATCACCGAGAAATAACTAATATAATATTTCCAGTCCACCGTACTGCTTGGCACTCATCAGATTTACCTACTTGAATGATAGAAATCGGTCATAGCGAATGTCAAGGACCAGAAGCATGAAACGGCATACTTCCCAGACATCAGTTAATATAACCACATTACAGTCCTATGCAAGGTCCATTATGAGCTTCAAAATGCAACGATAATTTCTCTAACTGAATCACTGAGCAACATGGATTTGAATCACTGAGGTGAAAGCAAACCTTTCAAGATTTTAGATATGCCTAACTGACGAGTGTCAATAAGCACGAAACCTAGATCCAGCGATTCTTATTGATTACCTCCAATCGCGTTTTACTAGATTATAAACCCATGACTAACTTATGTACTATCCTAGTCAATATGTGGTTGAACACGAAATACTTTTCGTTACATTTTATTTGATAAAAATTATTAATATTGCAAATATTAAGGACTTTCATTAGTTGTGTGTAAAATGATTTTACGTAATACTAAGGTTCAGCTTTTTAATTCTCTTAATCAAACCTATAAGTTGAAATTTTGCTTTTAAGTTAATGAAGTGTACAGGTTGGTTAAACAGTTTTTCTCATTTATAATGTAATGGGAACTGCATTATACATGGCAAGAGAAAAAAAGTTGAGGACAAACAATCGAGGAAGATAATGTGGGCCCAGTTTACTTAGTCGTTTCTTTTCACCTGCATAGTAGCTGCAATGTGTTTATAACGTCACACACTATAATGAAATATTTACGATACTTTAGTTTACTTGATAAAAAAAATCAATATTATTATAATGGATGACAAAAATTCTTCGATATGAGGTCAAATTATTACATTATGTTAAGATTTCACTGTCTCTTGTTTGAAATAAATGTTTCGTGACACAAACTGGTTCATTGGACACTAGGCGGTAATTAATGTTATGCATCTGGTCCTTCGTTTAGCATAATCGTTAACTGTCAGTGTTATGACTCAAAATTGTTCTGAATGTCATATATGCATTCATATTTTGTGATCTGTTATAACCGTTAAACCCTGTTCCTTTCAACACCACTATTCTTTTTCCCTCACATTTTTGCTGATTATCATTATTTTTAATCTCTTCTTTCACCTGTTTTGTCTTTCTTTGCATGGTACATGGAGTGTGGCAAGTTGAACTGCTGCAGTTCTGCGATAAATTCTATGCTGAAATCATTCGTTTAGTCAGTCAGTCAGTCAATCAGAGCATCCTTATAGAATTAGCTATACATAATATTTTATCGGATAGCACTCTAATGTTATTTTTCTGAGGTTTGAAATGTGCCCTTTCTCCTCAAATCAATTGTTTTTAAAAGGATGTACTCAGATCGTTCAGTAAACGATAGTATTCCAACGGGGAGATTTACATTCGATAATGTTCTGTTTAAGTACGTGAGTGTTACACGTTAACACGTGAAATCTCGAAGACTGTTTCTATGATACTGTTATCACTAAGAATAAGTACGTTGGTGGGTGGGGGTGGTGGTGGTATAGTTGTAGAATACTTATCAACAACGCACATTGTTGGAGTTTGACTCCCGGGTGACGTGTTCCCTAAGCTGACTGAAAGGGGAATGTTGGCTATGAGGTTAGCAACCCCACATCCTATTAGAAAAGACAATACCAAGCTTTATATTCGACCTGTAGCCCAAATGAATGGAAGGAGACTAATGAAAAATAATAAATAACAACTTTATTTTGTACAGCGTTTATATATTGTACAAAATTTCCAGCATAGTTTTTTGCATGATATTTTCTCTTTATCCAGAATCTTCAAATAAAAAATCACGTGACAGTAGACCATGTGAGAAACACTTCTGCCTGACATGAAGCGCATACCAAGAAATTTTGACGTCTCTCATTTTTCTTCGGTAAATTCATGTAATTTGGTTGAATCCATTCTGTAAACCAATGACACAACACATGAACAGCTATCTATCTCTTGCACCGCAATACACCCTAACCCACGACTTAGTTTTTTTTTATTTTTTACTCACGATAACTAGAAACTTGCGAATTAGCAAGTTGTAAACACATTAACTACGCACCAGAGTATAAAACGTAATTAAAGGTCATATTTTGTTAAATTTATACAAAAGAATGGATACTGAACAGAGAATACTCTTTTCGATAACCTTTTCATCATCAGGCTGTACAGTTATGTATACATTATAGTGAATGAATGAATTAGTGTTATGAACATTAGCGTTGTTTAAATAACATCGAATCAATAATAGCGATAGATTACAGTTTGATAATATCAACATAACAGCAAAATGAATGTCAGAAAAATTAGGAAAGATAATATTACAAATTCATGAATTTATAGTTTCTACTGAGGGCAGTAGTAGTGGCTGAACTTGCTTCTTTTGAACACAGAGTACTGGTTGTTTGAAGCGAACTGCAATAGTCTCTGCTTTTTGGAGCGTGCGGTGCTCCGATGTTTTTGGCAATTTATTAGGGACCCGGTAGATGATAGAGAATGATTCTTCAACGCTGCCAAGCTTTGTGGCCGGTTTGCACCAGACGGTCCAATATCGAACTGTTAATGGTTTTTACCACACCTTTACTTAGCCATAGTGGGAGATGTTCTCGAGCACAAAAAATCAAGTTCCTAGAGCAACGGCCAATATAACTCGCTCCACCACAAGCGCAGTTGAATTGGTAGGTAAAGTTTGAAGTGGCCATTCTAGGTACTTCATCTTTCAGTCGAGGTAGCACCATCGGTCGTGTAAAGAATAAGACGTGTAGTTCGCCAGCATTAAAAGTTCTCTGAACTGATTTTCTTAATTTTCTCGTAGTTATCTCACTTGGTATATCGCCCTTGAATTGCAATCGTATGTATAAAGGCTTCTTGTTTACAGACAGTGAATAGTCCTTTTCCGCTTTCTTTGTCATGTGCTTCTTGATAAATTTGTCGGGATAGCTATTTTCAATCAAAGTATCATATACAATGCTTAATTCATCTTCAATTACTTCTTCTGAGCATATGGCTCTAACTCTGTGGCTGAAAGTGTTTACTAAATTTCTTTTGTACTTGAGAGGAATGAATCTGTGAAAATGTGTGTATATTGTTCTGTCCAAGTACTTTTTCTATGCAAATTTCTTTTTATACTACCATCTAGTTTTCTTGTAAGTAGGACATTCAGGAAGGGAACTCATTCTGTTTTGGGATTTCTCTCCGCATGGGAAATTTATTGACGAATTTACAAACTGAATGGGAGAAAATATCTTTGGAATATCGATGAGATTTGTTGTTTCGGCGGTCCAAATTTAAGCAGGTCGCCAATATGATATTCTGGTTATCTGTGTGCGTCGGTGGCACAGTGGTTAGGACTCTCGCCGACCATGCACATGGTCCGGGGTTTGATCCCCTGCCGATGCACACCTGATATCTATGGTCAGCCTGCAAAATTTGGGCTGCCGATATCACTGCTGAAAATTCCATACCTGTACCGAAAATACAATGTGGCATGAAGTTGTAATCAAAATTAAAAATATGTAGACCCTCCCCCCTTAGTATAAGAAATTATGCTTGATTTTGAAGTTGAACGTATTTCATCACCGTTCAAAAATCGACTTTCATTGTTATTTATCTTCTTTTTTTCGTTGATGTTTTTAGAGTATACGATCAATTGTAGAAAGTGAAGAAGAAGGGAATAAAGAAGAAGTCTTAGAATCTGTAAATTGTTTGTTTTTAGAATTATTTACACAAGAATTACAAAATATCGAACGATCCAATCATAATGATGGTTATAATAATACTACAGATATCGCAAGCCAATGTAATGATCGACGTCCTAGTGTTGAAACTATGATTGAATCCTATTGGCGATTAAAATTATATGATTTTCAAAAAGCTTTTTGGAAACAAGTATTATTACGTAATTATTTTTGTAAAGAATTATCTATTGAAGAACAATGCTTAAAATTTCGTGAATGGCTTTATTGTTCATAAGTTTGCCTACCATAAACCTGCCTACACACACACACGCATCCACCAGGGAGAATTGAGTAGAGGTAGGCAGGCAGTGAGAGATAGATAATCGTGATTTCCTTTACCTATTTTGTCTTTTCCTCCTTGTTCACTACTGTTTTTTGTCATATATATATATATATATTCATTCGTTCCGACATAACATCATGAAGAGAGACCTAGGGAGAAGATACATTTCCATTCTATCCTGCTTTATTCCCGTGTTTGTATGTGTATTTGTTTGCACGAAGAGAGCTTATTTTTGGTTTTTTTTCATTCATTGTACGCAGTGTGCTATCGGCCCCTCCTTTTTCAGTGGGAGAACGAATTGTGATAATGTTGTGCGATTTTGGCCTTTATTGTCGTTTCGTTGTTATTCTTGTTGTTGTTGGTGTCGTTGTACACAGGGATATGTGGTGGTGTTAGTGTTGGTGTAAAGCTTTACACTGCTTTCCTTTATGTGCTGCTGGTCTCCTGCTGGTCATCTGTTTTTTCCCTTCCTGTTTTCTCTGTTTTTTTTCTTATTTGAAACAACCCGGTTATGATTAGCGTTTGTCTCTTTCTTTTCTCCCTACCCTACCTATTTTGACAGTGTTTTTTTATTTCTTCTTTATGTGATCTTGTTTGATGAACACATGATGACAAGTCTGTGTTTTTTTAATATACTACTACGCCTACCATCAGTAGTAATAACACTAGTGTGTAATATCGCTAAACAAAGAGGTTGGGTGTGGGATGGATAAAGCATCGAAGATGATTCAGCGCTAACTTTCTTCATGCTAAACGTATGAATTATCTACAGTTTTAATTATTGAATGGATGAATTAATTAATTATTGTTTTATTTTTGGTTTTCATTTCTTTTTTAATTGTTTAACTTAATAATTAGATATTGTGATTGATTTAATTCGTTTTTGTCCATTTATTTATGTTTTTTACTACTCATGATATTCATTAGTCACAGTAAGATTGTTTTGTTTTATTTCTTTATCATTATTATTTTTATTCTTATTGTGTGACAGTGGGATTGTTTTGTTTTTCCCTCAAGATTTCTTCCCAATACTTTCGAATCTCCATCATAAATTATTATTATTATTATTACTATTATCATTATTTTCATAAGGGCATTGTAATTGAATTATGTATTTACTTATATGCTCTTTTAATAAAATTAAAATTAATCCCTCTGAGGATGACTACAGAGAGTAAATTGTGCGTCGTTGGTTCAGTGTGGTAGGAATGCTGTGGAGGGTCTGAGTTCGGTTTTCGGTTGATACACCCCTTAAACTACCGCCTAATTTACAAATTTATAGTTAGCTTGGAAAAGAGGGATGGTTGGGTATGAGGCTAGTAACTGTAATGCTAGATGTATGATACTGTCTATATACTATTGGCTGATTGACATGAGTAGTTAAACACTATTCATACCAATGATTAGTGATGTAAACACCGGACAGCCTTTTCGCTCATTTACAGCCAAGCTCATCATCTGTGTACTCGGTTTGAGTCAGCTCAGAGAGTTGGATCGGTTCAAATCGTCTGAATTCTGGCTACCTACATGGGGGGAGGGAATACTAAAAGCACGAATCAAATTCACAATCTGAAAATTAATTCGTAATTTACGAAGGGAACTGTGATGAAATTTCACGTCGAATTGTGTAAATTGCAAATGAGTTCGGAGATTGTGAATTTGATTCGTGCTATTACCAGTTCTCCCAATGTAGCTAGTCAGAATTCAGATGATTTGAATTGATATTCAAGTGTTGGTTTGTAGAGATTTGATTGGTTACAGGATTTCATCATGAGCTGAAATTGGTTGGAGAACCATTGGGAAACGTGGGAGTATTGGATAACTGTTTCGTCCTAGTTTGGGAATCTTCAGCAATACGCACTCGTTGGGGTTCGAACCCAGGACCTTCTGGTTACAAGGCGAGCTCGTAGATTTGAATTGACTCGGCTCTCTGAACTTACTATACTTTACTTTACTTCGGCTATCTCTTATGGGAAGATGAGCCGGCTTCATGAACATCTCGAATCATCGCTGCCCAGTCGCGGCGATCTGATGCAAGGTTTTGCGACAGGGTTATCCAATTCTTGTTCCACAGACGGAGTCCGTAGACGGTTTGTAGCCCCAGGCACTCCATATCAGCCTTGACTGTACCAAGCCATGTTTTCAGCTGTCCACCCCTGGCCAAGATGGAAATGGCGAGGGATTAAGAACTGATTTGACCAGATCCTCATCTGGTCGGCGCAGAACATGGCCAAACCACCGAAGGCGACGTTGTTGGACCAGTACTGGAATTTGGTTGATGTTGTAGCAACGACGACGCACTTCTTCGTTGGAGAGTTTGTCCTGCCAACGAACATGCAGAATGTATCTGAGGCACCAATGGTCTACTACCTCGAGTCTGCGTAAATCTTCTGCGCGAAGAGGCCAGGTTTCACAGCCATACAGGAGAACGGATCGTATGGAGGCTTGATAGACCCGAATTTTAGTCCTGAGACTGATTTCTCTCTTGCTCCATAGAACGCTCCTCAGCTGTAGAAACGCATTCCGGGCGTTGGAGATTCGCGCATTCACTTCGTTTTTCGCTTGACCGTTGGGGAGCATCATGGATCCCAGATACCTGAAGGATGGCACGATTTCAATAGGTGCTCCATTCAGGGATGGGATTTCCTCATTGCTGGTGGATGTGTTCGAAAACATTTTGGTTTTGGAAGTGTTAATTTCCAAACCGATAGTAGGCGCGAGGTGGTTTATCTGATCGAGCGCCTGTTGCATATCGGGGAAGTTTTCAGCTAATAACACGACGTCGTTGGCGAATTCGAGGTCGGTTATGTGAATATCGGGCGAAAGTTGGACGGTGTGGTGCTCGGTTAGGGCGTGCCGCAAAATCCAACCAACTGTGAAATTGAACAGGATGGGGGATGCTGGACAACCTTGCCGGACACCGCTGGTTACCTCAAAAGTGCGAGACTCTTCACCGTTCACTCGGACTCGAGCTTTCGTGTTGGAGTAGTATGACCTGAGCAGGTTGATTAGCTTGGTCGGAACTCTGTCGAGCTCCATTAGATACCAGAGTGCTCCTCGATCAACTGAGTCGAATGCCGCTCGGAAGTCGATGAAGCAAGCAACCGTCGGCTGTTGGAATTTGTCTCTGTGTTCCAGAATTCTTCGCAGTGTGAATAATTGATCCACACAGCCTCTTCCAGGTCGAAATCCGGCTTGATTTGGCCTTGTTCGCACGTGGCGTTCGGCAGCGAAGCGGTTCAGGAGAATGGAAACAAAAACCTTAGCAGCGATATCAATCAGACTTATGCCTCGGTAGTTCTCGGATAGTGACCTGTCTCCCTTTTTGTGGAACGGTAGCAGAACTGAGGTGCTCCAATCGGAAGGAATGGTTTCGGAGTCCCATATTGAGCAGAATAGTGAGTGCAGCGAATCGATTAGCGCTGGAGTGCAGGCCTTGTATATTTCTGGAGGTAGACCATCTTCGCCCGGAGCTTTTTGCTTCTGAGTCTGTTAATTGTTTTAGCTATTTCGGTTGGAGTGGGTGGATCGCAGTCAACTATGTAGGGTGTTGGTAAGTGTCGCATCGGTCGGTGAGACGGTTGACCAGCGTTGCGATTGAGTAGCTGCTTGAAATGTTCGGCCCATCATTCTCTGAACTGAATTGAACTAGGTGCAATGACGATGAGTTTGGCTGCAAATGGGCGAAACGACTGTCTGGTGTTAACATTAAGTCAATGTTGGTAGCAAACACTAATAGTTGGTATGGATAGTGTTCAAATACTCATGTTAACCAACCAGTAGTATGTAGGGTCATGCAACTATCGGTATAGTTAGTGGCGTCACACCCAACTTTCCTTCTTTTCCGAGCTAATTACCAGTTACTAAATTAGGCGATAGTTTATGGGAGGGGGTCTCACCCGAGAACCGAACTCAGACTGATTTTATAAAGACTTTAAACTGCTAATGAATTCAACAAGAACCGTTCACATAATCTGTTGGCTATATCCAGTTTCGTGTGAATATAGTCGTTTTGCTTCATCACGCGTTTCACGCAATGATATTGTGTGTTGAACAATGATCTATGGTCATTGAAATGTTGACAGAGTATCTGGCTGGTTTCATGGTATGTTCTCCTATTATGTGTCTGAGAGAGAATCAGTTTGCAATATTTGTCTGACTCATCTGAACTGAAATTTCGAAGTAACAGTCTAACTCTCTGACCATCGTCTCTGCCCAAAAAATCCAACTTAAACGAAGTGTCGAACGTAATATATGTGTCTGGATCGTAAATAAATTCTGTTGTGCTTCTCCAACCGTTATCATTGGCTGGGGATGAATCGGCATGGGAAGACATTCATAAACTAGAAATCGACTCCATCATTTTAAGGTTCTGCCACATCAATTTTCTCAAACTTTGAGGGCCCGTGTTGACTTCCCAGACATCACCTACTTTGATACAACCGTCATAACAATACTATGGTTCAGATTCACACTGAATTGCAACAGGAAACTTGACTAAACATGGAATACGACTATTCTCCTTCAGTATTTCCTGTAGTCGAGAGCCAATGGATAATTTAGAAGATAAGATTGACCTCTGTCAGTAAGAACAGTTGCTTTCTCAGACAAAATATATCATATGTATACCCTACCAATAAATAATTCAATTGGTTGTATAAGGCGGGGGGATCAAATGAGTTGTCTAATCAAATTCCACCAAGGCAGCCTGTGGTTTAAGCCTGTGAAATTCAGTCATTTCAGTACTAATTAAAATTAAGATATGTAATAGTGATACAGCGGTATTTACTGTATCTTAGCTAACCACATGGGCGAACTGGTAATTATTATTATTATTGTTATTATTATATCCTTTAATTCCTAGAGGAACATAGGGCTCCAGTTGGGCGTCCCATTGCCTTCGGTTTTCTGCCAACTTTTTCACCCGCTCCAAGTCTGACCACATGCTTTCATCTCCTCTTCACATGACCTCCTCCAAGTCACCCTCGCACTGACGACCAACTCGCCGCTTCCTTTCGGCCTGGTTCCACTCGAGCGATGGCTTGTCTAGTGATGTCACTTGATGGTTTCCTCAGAATATGGCCAGCCAATCCATCTCCATTTCTTCCTGCCTATTTTTTCACAATCAGTTCCTGCTGGGTTGGTTCGCTGATTGCCAGAGATCCCTGTTGCTGATCTTTTCTGGCCGGACATCTGATCTTTGAGCGAAACAACTCTTAATGAAGGTCTGAAGTTTGTTTGAGATGCTCTTTGACTCGCAAGTATGATCCGTATAGTAGCGAACTGGTAATAAGTCGTCAATCTAATTCGCGAATTAATTGGTGATTTGCAATTTATACGGTTAGAGGAAATTTCAGTACAATTTTCTCTGGAAAGCAAAGTTATTCATATTGCGAGGTAAATTTACTTTCGACGATTTTCAAAAATGCTACAGAGTCGTTTTTATTTGCTGACATTAGATGGTTTGAGGCAATCGGCAAGAAGCCTTGGACCTAGGTTTCGTGTTGACCTCACAGTCAGCAAGGCGTATCTGCGTAAATCGCGAGGCCGAATAGCTCAGTGTTAGCGTCTCTGACTGCAGCACTGGGTGATGCGGGTTTGAATCTCAGAAGGAACATGAGTTGGTCCAGGTTGCAGATACGCCTTGCTGACGACTGGTGAGTGCCAACTAGCACGAAACCTAAGTCAGTCAAGGCTTCCTGCCGATTGCCTCCAAACATGTAATATCATGAAATCAATGTGCGATGACCTAAACAGTCTGCATATCTAAAAAGGATATAAGATAGTTAAAGGACAGTTAGTCGGTCAAATGAATCTTCATGTGAAATGCAATGCCATTAATAACTAATAGTTATGATAATAAACTAACAGCAAAGTAATTCGGTGGATGGTGACTATCAGTAGAATACAAACGCGCATTTCGTCCCATTGAGCTCTTCAGCTAGTCGATGTGCCTGCATACCCCAGTCAGTGATGATGTTCCTGAAGATGGAACGAATACCATCGTCCCAAACGCTAAAGGTTATCCACTGGACCAGGTTATGATACGACTTTTATTGAGTGAATGCATCTGTTACTTCTGAACACAGAGTTCGGATTCAACGTCCCTAAAGTTAGTAATTCGTCTGTGTATAACTGAAGTATTCGAAGCCTTCTTGTGTTTTATTGTATTCGATCCCCAGCCACGGACGTACTCCTTCACCTTACTGAGTCAGTAATAAGGCTGGTAAAAGGGAAGCTTATACATAAGCTAGTAACCCCATCCTGTAGAAATAAACACCACTGCTACCGAAACTGCAAGCCTGTAGTTTGAAGCGTGTTCACTGGAAACGTAAAGGAATAAAAAAGATTCCTATGACATTTTTGAGACGTCTTTTCTTTACTAACCCTCTGTTTACTCTTTTCGCTCACCATATAATTCA